AGTGCATTGTGTCTGAAATAACAACCTTTTCAGGCTTTTGTGATCCTCGTGGAAAGAAGTCATTTGGCGTGAATGGCGGAGTGAATTGCAATTTGCGCCCTTTTGATTTCAAGCTCTTATCCAGGGTTTAGAATTTTCGCAAAGCGAAGACAGGGGAGAGTATCGAAAGTTAGATCTTTAGAATGCGTCATCACGAAGTTGTTTCTTCTACTCCTTGTGCGTAGGACAGGACACGATGGTGGTATATTTGACGTAGCCAGTGCTTTACTTTTCAATGGACAACAACTCCATCGCTAATCCAAGACGAGAGAAAGGACTCGAATCGAAGGTAAGATCATGATTTTTCTACCAGCTGGTTGGCAAGGAAGAGCGCTGTAGCAGCGCTCTTCTGTTAAGAGCACCAAATCAATTTGGTGTTCTTAAAAAATGAGTCTTGAAATTGTCGCGCTAAATACAATTTAATGACATGAATCATTTATAGTTTTTTTTCCATCAAGAGGTGTTTCCACGGATTCGAATTGGTTACAAACTTCAGTTGAAAGTCAAATGATCAGTGATAGATCACTCGCATCATGGATTAAATGTAGTCAAAAGTTACGTTCATCGATATTTTCCAGCTTCCATGGCTGTAATTAGTATTCATCGTTCGATGAAGGTAATTTTTGTTTACTTCCTTCTTAATTGAGCTTTCTCGAGCGCTGTTAGAAGTTCATTTAACATGATTTTGACCGCCAGCTGGCGCACGAATGAAAAAAAAACTTCAGTCACCCAAATCGTAATTATAACACATCGCCCCGCATATTTAATTATTTTGAAGTAAATTTTATCGTGAAAAGCAGTTTGTAGTTGGTGTATGAAGTTGTTTCAGCTTGATTGATTTGGATTCGAATGAAATATTTTTAAAATGTTAATTCGTTCAAAAGTTATTTAAAAAAAATCAAGTTTTTAAGGTAATTTTATTGTAATGTTTTCGAAGAAGAATCCGCATTTGACATTCTCTTTATCGTGAATAAAGAGCATTTAAACTTTAAACACTCATAAAAAACATATTTATAGAAAATGAAACAGTTTTATTAAATCTATCACCCTCCTGTTTTAATTTCATAAATTTAAATTATCTCGTTAAATTTTTTAGGATAATAACAATTTTTACTTCTCCATATATACAGGATTAGCAGGAAGTTATTTTACAATTCTCAGGAAAAGTATGCTAATTTGTGATATTACTAGTGTATTTCATTTGTATACAGTACATGTTCAGGATTTCCTAATTAAAAAAAAATCGTTAAGGTTGTTATTTTGGTGGATCAATGGAAGAAATATTTTAATTAACATTGGCAGATTACACTGTATGTCATTGCTCTTTAATTTTCCGTACCCAAAATTCTATCAGTCTTCATCAGAATCATATATTTGTAGAGAGATTTCTCCTTTGACATCATCAGACACCAAATATAAGAAGTGAATTTAAAAAAAAAGTTTGTACATGGCACTTTGACCTGATAGTGCTGGACAATTTTAATTTTTTGTTGTTATTTTTTGTTTGAGTTTGGTTCTCTAGCATCTTTGAAATTAAATTGTCCAATCCACAATGAGTATTGCAGTAAACTTCTGTTAGTAGTAAATAGTTTGTGTAGATTTTTTTTTTGTGAGCTGTAACTAAGCAAACATTAGGTTGTATTGATTGGTGATTCAGGAATTTTGTAGTACAAACAGTGCTAATTTATACAAAACCCATGTATCAACAGCTAAGAGTTTCACAATGCATCTACTTAATTGATAAATTTATCTGAATAGCAGTTATTTCACAGTTCATTTAACTTTGTCGCAGGAAAATGTGTTATCAGGATTTCTAAATTTCTTCAAGGCTTAAAAATGAACATTGCCTAGTTAAATTTTAATGTACCCCTACTGTAGAAACTAAACGTGACAGTGTTCTGTTCTGTCTTATTTCATATATGACAAGTTTTCATCAAGCTGTCACAACTTTTAATGGAGAGTCAATATCAGGTTTTTTTGTCTTTGATAATTTGGGTTGCAAATGAGTTTTAGAACACTGTAATCAATGGCTTCCACTGTGACTTAAATAATCGAGAACATAACATTTATCTCGACCAATCTTACCATCACTGCATAATTTAAATAGCAATTGATAGCTATACATGGGAAAAAAGTGACCTGGTCTTCTAATTTTAAAATGGTAGTATTTGGTGAGTTTGTTTCTTTGTTCGCTGTACAGTAATGGAACAGCTGAAATCAATTATTGTTTGGCAATTTGTATACATTTAGTGTGGCTTGTTAGGCTAGGAAGTTGTTCAAAATCATCTCTAAGATTTCATGGTATATCTGTTTAACTTAAGGGTTATTTCTGGAGCCCTCTCAAGCTATGAAAACATTACAAATTGTCAGCTTGTTTCATGTTCACATGTACTGCCTAACCTTCGTGCTGATTTGTGTTACTGAAACTTATTGAACCATATTGTGGCAAGACTTTGTAGCTTAAATTTCCTGATCATGAAGCAGTTTCATTATAAAGCTTAAATTATTATTGTACTCTGCTAAGATTGAATAATCTACAGGACTTTGTACCCTTATATGTTCAGAATGCAGTACAGTAAGATCTATGGCAATTTTTATAAGAGAAGCAAGGGGTGTTGAACTCAGCTGTTTTGTGTAGAGTAGTATCCACTTGCATTCACGTGTGTTAATGTATTTTTGATTTTAAGGATCACAGGTATTACTAGTGAACTTTAAAAAGCACTCATTAGTACAGTAGATTTGTAATTTCACATACACTTGGTTTGTCAAATCTTCTGATAATGCAGATCAAATCTGGTTTCCTTCTCAAGATACATGCGAACCAGGGGATTTTTGTTACCTTCCAATAGCTCAAAACCAAATGAATTTTTTATTCCTATAAGCTTGAAAGGAGATTCAAAAAATTTGTTTCACTGAATTTACTACAGCTTATGAGAAACATAGAAATATTAATTTGGCCTTGATTTATATTTTGACATGCATTGCATATTTTTCAAGTAAAGTTTTCTTTGAGCATAACACTGTATTAAGTTATCAACAACAACTTTGATTCACCAATTTAGAAAAACATTTACAGATGTTGATCCTGTAAAACAAATTTCCAAAGGCAGATTTATTCCCAGAAAAATCTTGCATATCTAGTATCAGTTTAAATTAACTTAGCAGTCATCTTGTTTGATATGTGTATTTGTATCCTGGGCAACAAGTTATCAACACTGTCTGGTTTATACTCTTTTCTTAAGCATGACGTGATATTTGTAGATGTTACAACCATGACGCAAATGTCGATAGTGTTTTTGTGTTTTTGATTTCCTTTAAAACAGCCTGTGGTTGAATGTGAATGGATGACGTATGTGTTTGTTTGTTCCTGTATTTTGGAGTAAAACTCTAGTATCAGTCTGTTGGTTGCATGCATTTGAATGCTAGCATAAAAGTGTATTACAGTATGTAAATAAAGACATGAAATCTTTAATGATTCTGGGCTACTCTAAAATTTACATACAGCTGTAGTTTACTTCAGTTGATTCATGTAACTAAGAACTTGAAATATTTGCTGTGATGTACAAAAGTGATAGATGTTGTGTTTCAACCTTCTTATGTGTAATGATATAGTCTCTACCTCTCTGTCTATTGAGGAAAATATGATCTGTCAACCCTGTAACTCCCAGAACAAATTTTTAATTCTCTTTGTTGTCAACCATACAACTCTTATAATGTTAGTTCAGAGAATTTAGTATTAGATCAACTAATTATCCCCAAATTGATATTTTTCTTTGTTCTCATCACTTATCTGGTTGATATTGTATAATAATACTGTAAAGAGAAATTCTGTCTTGGTCACTCATGGGAGTTAAAGGGTTAAAGCAATCATAACCTCATTGCTTCATTAAGTTATTTAAGATGTTTTTTTTCCTGCAGAATGGCTCTAAAGAAACTAAACTGGATTTCCTTAGAAAGAGAGGTATGAATGCAATTCATGATGGATGTATTTTGCATTTTGTGAACATTTACAACAGACACCTACAAAGTCAGAAAAAACACTTCAAAAATGTTGAAACTTGCACAGCAAAATCATCAAAGTGCAACTCTCAAACAAAACCTGGCATCTTGCACATGTACATTGTGTGCATGTATGCCCTGACTTTTCAGGCTGGTTTTCATACAGGAAAATTGAGGATTTTACTGTTTCCTGACCATCTCAGATTTTTCCTACTAATGAAAACTCAACAGGGAAGTCTGGGATGTCTCTATTTTCCTGAGGAATCCCAGAGTTCTGTGATGATCAGCAATCATTCACCATACTTGTATATAGAAACATCAAGTTTCACTGTCAGGGACATCAGATATGGTTTTAGCTCCAGTTAATCCTTGAGTCAAAAGTTAAGGTCAATATTGGAAAAAACCGGTTACAATGTCTAGGGACCTCCTGATAAATAAATATTAGCAAAATCTGGGACAGTCAGCCAATCATCTGGGAGTTTTCTAACATACAGGTGTATAAACCTGTCAATGGCCTGTGAGCCAACTCAGTTTAGTTTCTGAGTGCATGGGTGCACTATTTTCAAGTATTATGGCAGATTGCTCTTCTTCTAAATTGTTATATGTTGCTGCTGTTATAATGATAACTGCTCTATAGATTTTTCTGGCAGGTGACATTTTGCTCTATTTTACAGATAGACTCTTTGACATGACGTGTCTGTTCAGATTACAGGTGATGTCAAAATGTGGCAAGAACAAAAAAGTGGTCACTGATGTTCTCAACACATTTTGATATCTTCTGTGATCTATCACAGACTATACAAAACCACAGCAACATATAATCTTTTGTTTTATACAACAAGGAAGCAAACAAATTGTCAATGATGATGTCACCTATGCATCTGTCCACCAGTAGATCATACTTGTAAGAACCAATCAAAATGGGAGCATCATTGAGCTTATTATACAAAATAATCACCTATCTCACTTCAACAGCAGCTCATGATTTCCCTTATGAGCATTGCCACAAAGCCTCAATACAGGATCTTCCAATAACTGATGAGAAGTGCCCATATCAATCCAGCAAAGAGAGCTCAGATGAAGAATGGTCTGATTTCTCTTTTTATGATTTGCCAGATACTTTAAAGGTTAGTGAGGTTTGTACAGTCATGTGTTGCTTGTGTTGTTTTGCTCTCATTTCATTCCAATTTCTTGTTTAAAATAAAGTACTCTAATACTATTGTTACAGTTTTTGGTGTTGCTTTTCAGGACTCTTTCCGTAGGTCAGTTCATCCTTCAGAACACATGATACCTTCTCACATGGTGTCCAGACCTCCTTACCATGCTACTGCAAAAGGTACATTGCTATAAAATTGTTAAATCATGCACAATAATTAACAGAGACACATTAAGTGCTATCAGCCCTGCGTAGATAGCCACTTTAACTGCCGCAGCTTTTCTTGGCCCTGGTTGTTTGAAGAGTCAAGTAAACTGTTACTCAATGCTACTCAGATGTCCAAGAATGCTGAAAATCATCTAACTCAATGAGTTTCAAATTTAAAAATTTTATGGAGGAGCACGCCCCTAGACCCTCCCCTCCTAGAAGGGTATTTGGCTTTGCAACTTGCCTTGATGGCTATTGAAGCATTATTCATTTCAGCTCATGCTTCAATTACATTTTTTTAATAACAAACCTGTAAGTGTCTTGCTCAAGAAGACAACAAAGTGATCCCAACCAGTTCTTGAGCTTAGACAGTTTGATTCAGTCCAGTGAGAAAACCAGCGTCATTGTGTCGTGCTTGTGGGCAAGACACTCTACTATCATAATTCTTTCCTTACCTGGAATATGTTTATATTTTTAGAAGCTTTGGTGCGTAGTATCACTGAGTATTTTTACGAGTTGTGCCGTATTTTGACGAGTCCATAGGGCATGTCAAAATACACTGAGTAAAAACTTAATACTCAGCGATACTACACACCAAAACATGCACTAAGTTATTTATTATCCAATTACTTTATTTCATGAGCATTTCTTAAAAAGTGGGTAAAGCGAAGCAGATAGAGAAGCAAAACCCGCAGCCGACCGGTGAAACAGTTTATTTTTACAGTACAAAATAACGCAGGATATTTGTACTCGATTCGCGCGTTATTTATACCCCACTTAGCGCAGGTGGATAATAAAAATGCTAAGCAGTGATCTTTCTTGGAAGCCTGACAAAATGCAGGGGCCAATGTAGCAATACTCTGGGTAGCTTGATGGTACAGAGACAGGAATAGTGTCTGTCACAGGTTGCTGACCCTCTTGGGTTCGGTGAAGACTTGCTCTGCTACGTTTTACAATGCCTTCTTTTTGTTTGCACTTCTTCAGCTCATCGAGTGCACACATTGCTAGACACTGAGGTTGGCAATCCATTTAGCTTGGCAATGGAAGACTCAGTAAATCAACTACTGTCTCAAGAGACTGCGCCTCAGAACGGTAATCAAACTTCAGAAAGTACAACATGTGGGATCAGTACCACAAGTGATGTTCAGGATGTGATCACCTCAACCAAAGCATTTGATGGAAGTTTATTTTACAGACATTCTGACTTGATGCTTAATGGTAAACACAGAAGAGAGACTAGATTTGAAGGGCTTCATCAGAATGGAGGCCAGGATGCACATGTTACTAACCCCAATTCTTCAAGTTTGTCAAGTAAAGCTTCAATGAAAGGCCACCCAGACATTCTTGTTGTTCCATCCGAGGTTTCTGTGCACAAAACAGGGCGAAATGGTCATGGTGACGTTGATAAAAGTGAAAATGCCAGCTATTTGGAAAGACTTAAGAGGAGTTACCCATCGAATGGAAGCTATTCAGGAAGTTCCAGTTCTCAGGAAATTCTTGCAAATAAATTTATGCAGCGATCAAAGGATGCCATGATTAGGAGGGAAAAGCAGAAGGTTGTTCCAGGAAGTACATTCAAGAAAGAGCATTCTCCTAAATCGGTTTCATTCGCAAATTCTGTTAAGGGCACTGATAAACTAAGCAAATCGTATTCTTCTGGTAAAGAAGATGGAAATGAGCAGTTGAGAAACAGCAGACCCAAGGAAGGACATGCTCAGAATGGCTTCCCTGTGCAGCAAGAGCACACCGTACAGAGCAATGTGGTGTTGAGTGGACGCCTCGGCCAAAACTTTGTTGAATCTGGAGTACAAAACAATGCAGTGAAGAGAAGCTTTGATCAGAAACCAAGACTAGAGACTACGGTGGCAGAAAGAAACGGTCAGAGTAAGGGAAATAGCAGTTATGGTGACCCCTATGATATGGCTCTCCCACCCTCCCCTCCGACCAGAGATACGTGTACGAACCAAAGTTCAGATCACTGCAATTCACAACGGAGTTCACACTCAGTTCGGCTTTTGTCTCTGTATGGTGAACGCAACTTGTTTGAATCAAATCTCTCCAGGAATTTAGCCTCACCGTCCAGACAATCAAATGTCAGTTTGGGATTCAGTGGAAATAAAGTTTTGTCTAGATCTTCACTCAGATCAGCAGGGAAATCATTCTTACAGCAAACAAACAGTAAAGTGGATCTGAGCTCAAGGCCAAGCCTGATGTCGAGTGGACGTAGCGGAGACGACAGTCTTACAATTGAGGAGTTGTTAAGCAGCGGAAGTGTGAAGTCAAGTCCAGATAATTCACCGCCTTATAGGTTCACTCCTCACTTTGAGAAAAGCAGTAAAAGAGAACACTCACTTGACGATTACTTGGATAAAAGAGGAAATCTCCTACAGGATCTTAGGTAATACATGGATGAATTTTGAGTGTGAAAGCTCTTTGTATTTTCTTCACTCTTGCAAGTCTCCATTCTCTAACTACCCCCAAACTTTTTCCTTCTACCCGAGCTCAAGAAGGAGAAATGTTTGTTTTATAGTTCAGCCTACGAGCGCCCTTTGTCACGAGCGTTCTTCGCCCGCGGGAAAGTATGAAGCCTTGAGTAACGTAAGCCAGTGAGAGGTTTGCCCCTCATAATTAGTGCCAGACCCTCCGCAAACCTCTCCCCGACTCGTCTCAAATCTTTCCTCGGGCGGAGAATCACGTTTCTTGCAGCTCCAATGACGAGGCCTACTTGCAAGCTAATTTTATTTCACTGGAAGCAAATTCTCGTAAATGACATGAAATTACAATGTAACCTTGCCTAATATATGTATTTTCAGGTTTGTAAAAGTAAGTTTCTTTAATGTGCCTTTTAATTATTTTCAAGCTTGAGAAACTCATTTTCAGTGGATACATCACAGAGAATTTCCTCTGCTCTCTGGGCCTCTCGAACGTCCAGTCCAAATTCTTATCAGGAGCTGCTGCTCAAGGTAGCTAACATTATATATTGTAAATTTTTTACCCAAGCGTAATGTATTAAATTAAACAGTTTCCATTGAGCACAATCTGTTAGATATTATGTTTACTATTGGCGTGTAATTTGAAGGGTCGCCTTTTTCGACGCTGGTACCAGAAGACAAGGCTGAAAAGGCTGATCAAACAAGAGGATGACGTCAAATTACAAAGGTATTTGATAAATTGTTAAACTCATTAACAGTAGATGAGTAAGGTGCCTGAGAGGTTGACAGCCCGTGCAAGGTAATACGTCGGCCAGGGGGGTAAATATAACAGGGTACTACCTGCAAGTATTGTTTATCGTGCATGTATAACATAAATCTGGTCTGAGCCTTGGCTAGCTCTTTGTGACACACTCCAGGGGATAAGGGTTTCTTCAAACCCACTAATTCAAGTATTGGTCAGGGGAAGTTTGCTAAACAGGAATAACGTCTACGTTGTACAAGCACATCTACATGAATGCATACAGCTTCAGAATGTTGGTCAAAACCATCGAAGGGAGTATAGATTGCGTTTGGTAATTTTTTTCACCATTCTTTTAACAGTGCAGTCACGTTCTGGCAAACAGAGACGCAACATAAGTATTTTGAGGCATGGAGAAATGCCAGGACTGTTCAGCTGGAAAAAGCAGACAAACTGCGAAGGAAGCTGATGCTACAGAAAGGATTGAGTGCCCTGCGATTTGCTGTGAGTCAGCATAAACAGTCCGTCTCGGAGGTCCAGACGAGGGCTAGAGCCAGGATTACGGCCAAGTACTGGCTAAAGGTATGGAAAAATTACAATGTACTTGTAGGAGACCGCATTTCGAGCCAAAACCAAGAAATTACAAAAACCAATCGGAAGAAAGGAAACTTTAAGAGCCAATAAGAAGTCAAAGTAAATACAAGCAAACTGCCCGAAGCGCGGGAAAACGCGGGTGACCAAGTCGCGATTGGTTTTTAAAGATTTGAATCTGATTGGATGAGAGAGTGGCGCGAGTTTTCTGAACCAATCACAGAGAGAAATAAGGCAAATCTTATGCTATCTCGGACTAATTTCGACGCAATTGAAAATCGCTCTAAGCACAAAATTATCACAAGTTAGTAGATGGAAGATATATTTTCTATGTATTTTAAGTAAATTGTTGGATGGTTGTTTAAATTAAGGTAACTTGGTGAAAAGTGTGAGCCTAACAATATTATAATGATTTTAAGGTTGCAAATCTTCACAGTAATTTTGGAGATTTTCAAGAGAGAAAATGTGCACATTTCTCTCACTGTGAACGCGTAAAATATCATCACGTATTTTAAATCCTGTAACGTGTTGACAAAGGGTAGATGGAGTTGAAAGGAGCATACAGTAGATTTATGTTAAGGGCCGGGATCTTCATTTGCATAATTTTTTCTTTAAATCTTCATTTAGTGGCAAAAGGCTGTGCAAACGAAAGTGACCGATCGACTGCGAGAAGCGTTTGACAAGTGGCACTTGTTCAAAATGGATCAAAACAGGTAACAATCTTTTCTCTACATGACAAGTAATAAAGTCTAGTGGTTTATATACACCTTATTTGATAGGTTAACGTATAATACGCGCAGGTTTCTTGCGAGTTACGTAGTATTTTTCCGAGCAGTGAGCAAAGGATACAAACAACATCCTGAACCACTAAAAGAATCTGCAGCTACATGAAAGTTTTCAAATTAAAAGCTTTTTTTTCTCTTATAATCAAGGGGCGCAATGATGGAACAGATGGCTGATAGGCACATATTATCGAGAAATCTATATTAAATGGAAGATAAAGTGTGATATGGAGCAGAAGAATGGAGTTGCTTCCTTACACTACAAGTATGGTTCAAATTTGCACTGTTTATTGTACAAAAATTCTGTATTTATTAGCTAATTAATAAATAGATTCCATGTTACTATGCGTCTGTTTAGTAATTGAACACAGTGGACGTCAAATTGTGGCAGGAAAAAAAAGTGGCACATGAAGCGCAGCAAGGTGTGTCACTTCATTCTGACCACATTTTGACGTCCACTGTGATTCTATTACCGCACAAAACCACAGCAATATAAATCTATTTGTTTTGTATGTCGTCATCTATGCTTGCATGCTTCTTCTGTCCTCCGATAGATCGTAAGTAAGAACTAATCAGAATGCGTGTATAAATCAGCTTATCATTTTAATTAAAATTTCCAGATGGATTTCAACGATTTAGCGTCCTGTCAAACTGCACAGTACTTTTGGCAATTTTGTTTTGCGTACATTATTTTAATGTATACGTTTTGAAATTTATGAGTAAGAAAGTTAGGAACAAAGAAATCTAGACCACCAAAATGCCTTCAGCTTTTGACTGTGTTTCCTAAAAGTGCCTAATTTATCAAAATTGGCGAATTATGATCAGAGATTCTTAGTTTATGAGCATGTTTGATATGCAACAGGTGTTATCAACGAATTTAGCAATATAATGATAATCGTATTTGTTGGGGCTGTGAAAAAATTCATAACACCTAATTAACACAGCAGGCACGGTTCGTTTTGAACAAGAACAAAGATCTGATTTATGTTCAATACTACTTCAAGCATTCTGAATTGAAAAAGACGAAAAAGAAGTCTTAAATTTAACATTCGCATGTTCAATGCGATGATCCAAAATGTTTCGAGTGAACGCGCTTGTGGCTTGCTGAACCTTCTGGCGAAATTCACTACTTTTGTAATTTGAACAATTATTTTTTTTAATTCTGGTCATTACTCAAGCAAATCAATATTTACACCGGGAAATGGAATTAGCTGAAGAAGATTTACTTCGTATTAACTGGGAAATTCAAACTACATTTTCGTCGTTTTCGGGATCCCGTTCAAGTGCATTTTCAAATGCTCACAGTTCTCACAAGTTCAAACACATCAGGATTAACTTTCAAGGACTGTTTTTTCTGACCAGAATCGGTTTGCTGACAAGGAGCTGGCACAGCTGGAGATTGTACGCTTCACAGAGAGTGGTTAAAACAAGGCTGAAAGAAGTTGCCAGGTAAACTAAAAGAAAACGAAAACATAGTTTTTAAAGGATGGCCTAACAAGGATTTGAGAACAATCAATTTTTAAAGTAGACTTAAAACTTATATCAGTGATAAAAAAGCGCAGATTAAAGGAATAGAAAGAGACGGTAAATATTTTTTACCAGAGAAGATCAAAGAAAAAAAAAGGTCTGAGCGAATCTGATACGATTAAAATCTCAAACCTTCCGGGGCATTTCTATTTCGGGGTCAGATGCCTTACTAGACGACAAACAGTCACTCCTTTTCGGCGAGGGCCGTCGCGCAAATAAAAGATAAGGAAGGTAACATCCGCGAAAAAAAGTTATCGCACTGCGCGGAACTCTGGGAGTAATGCGCTTAACTCACAGGGTTCCGCGCGGCGCGCCAGTGTCAATTTGTTTTCTTCGTTGACCTATTTTTAACTCGCGCGACGGACTTTGCCAAAAAGAAGGGACTCATTGTACGTTTAAGCCTTAATAGCCACAGAAACCTCGTTTACACCCTAACATCAGTGTGCAAGTTCCCCACACTGTTCTCTTATTGTACACTGAACAATTGTTATTTTATGTGCGATACTTTATAATGTAACGAACTGTCTGTTCACTTCTCAGAGTACACTATGAAGAACATTTACAGGCCAGATTATTTACCCTTTGGAAGGAAAACACGGGCAAAGCAGTTGTCGCAGATAGTTTGAAATCGTAAGTTGCGTGTAGAATCATTTTACTCTTGCAGTTATGAGATTAGAACGCCCTTCCACTGAGTGTCTCAGAGCCAAAACCAAAGTAATCACAAGGGCAAATCAGAAGAAAGGTCAAAAATACCTTTAATAGCCAATGAGCATAAAGTAAAAACAACCAAACCGCCAAAAGCGCGGGAAAACGCGGGCGACCAAGTCGTGATTGGTTTTAGTTTTGTATCTGATTGGTTGAGAGATTGGCGCGAGTCTTCTGGACCAATGATATAGCGAAGTAAAACAAAACAACGGTTATTTTGGATTTCGTTTGACACTAATTTTAAAAAAAGTGATCTTTGTGAAAGGAATTTTTTTTGTGGAACAGAGCAGTGGTAAAGATAGAAGGTGTTTGACAATGTTTTTCGTCTTTGTTTTTCCCAAATTGATTGAGAAGTACATTTCAACCTTTTTTAGCTTGTTTGGTACTTTTTCTTTTTTGCTTTGTTTGTTTCATCAGTATCATTTGTGTAAATTATATTATATTTTTTTCATTTTTCTAGGAAACGCGTACTTGTAAAAGCTTTCTATTGTTGGAAGAACTGGACTCAGTATGCCAAGTAAGTTAAACAAACTCCGCAAAAATCTTCGTAAAAAAACCGCGATTGATTAGAGCAGTTGAAGGGCGATTGAAGATTAGGTGCAAAGCCAACTGTATGGGCAATCTTTTAGCGCTTTTTGCATGTGTTCGGCAAAACCATAGCTTAAGCAATTACAGCGACCGATCAGAACAAAGATGAGCATTACAAGGAACCAATTACACGTAGAATTCGTAAGCGCGGGAAAACAAGAGTGGCCACGACGCAATTGGTTGTAGCTCTGCATTTGATTGGATTGTTGAGAGGCCAACGTCAGTTTTCCGGACCAATCAAAGGGTGTGAAAAAGCAAAACCAATGAAATCCTCTCGACGCTTGATTATAAATTGTGTTAATAGTTGTTAACGATCGAAAAAACTGAAGTAAAAAAAAACCTTTTAGGCGCCTGTACTTTTCACTCCAGAAATTGCACGATCTGCACGTAGTTATTCTCTGCAAAGTTACAACTGTATAAATTGCCTGGAAAAAATTCATTAACTAAAAATCTGCAGGTCTGGTATTGATTTTGTCGTTATTCTGTGTCCTCACAGGATTATTCGGCTGAGGTTCCAGAGCATGTGCAAGGAATATCATCGTCACAAGTTGGTCAAGCAATCTTTTCATCACTGGAAAATCCGGCTAATGAACCGGCAGGCGGATAGTCGTTACAGAAACGGACTTCAGAGGTAAACCGAGACTAGAGAACGATGGGCTTTTTGTTTGTGCTCAACCTATGACTGCATGGCATAAAACCAAAAGTAAAGTAATCGCAACAGCCAATCAGAACAACGGCAAATATCACAAGTAGCCAATGAGAATTCAGCGTAACGACAAACAAACTGCTTCAAGCGCGGGAAACACGAGTGATTGGTCTTAGTTTTGAAATTCATTGGTTGAAAGGGTAGCGTGAGTTTTTTTTTTTTAACAATTAAATAGCAAAATAAAGTTTACTCAATGCAATGCAGAATTACTTCCGTCGCTTAGTTGAAAGTTTCGCTGTTGATTTGAAGCTTTCGGAGGCGGAGAAGGCTGATTCAGTTTAAGAATGATGAAATGATTCTTAACGTCCGTGGTGCAGTCTAATACTTTCAGATATTTTTCTTCTTCATTTTCAGGAAGATATTCAAGTTGTGGTTTTTGCGGTACAGGAGGAAGGTTATTCATCGACATCTGTGCAAGGCCTTGGCCAAAAAGGTATGAAGAGAGGTGATTTGGGAAGACGTGTTGTACTAAGGATTCGTTTTGAATTTTTTTTTTTTTTTGAAGTATCATTTACAGGGTTAAGATTCAGAACTAGCCTGAATTATGAATTTAATGCAACACTGCTAATAACTCTGGTGTCGTAAAATAAATACCAATTTGATAAAAATGGCCATTTGGGACGAAGGAAAAAACATAGGGAACCAATTCGAACAAAGTAAAAACAACCAAACCGCCTGAAGCGTAAGAAGACGCGAGTGATCCACATGTAGTCGCGGTTGGTTTTAGTTATGAATCTGATTGGTTTAGAAGGTTGCCGCGTGCGAGTTATTTTAAGACAGAACAGAGTAAAGAAAAACGAATGCCATTTCGCATTGTGCTCGACACGTTTATAAGAATTTCTCCGGAGGAAATCGGTATAAGTTGTGGTACAGAACAAACTTGCCGTAGACGAGTCATTCTATTTAAATTTTTTCCCATTTGGACATTTGGTGGTGTTTATATATATGGCTATAAACTGGGAGCTCCAGTTTTTGCACATCTGCACGAACTACTCTCTTTCAAATTTTCGAAGGCTGAAATGTTTTTTTCTATATTCAATATTCTGCACAGATGTTTTTACCGTCTCGTGTAAACTTTTTCAAAGACCGCGTGTTTGCTACTTGCGAATGAAATGATTGAGAGGGAGAGAGAGTGAGTGAGTCTTCTCATCAAGGTGAAGTCATTGTGGTTACACAACAATTGAAACCTTGTGGTTCTTCTTTCAGGGGAAAAAGCGCAGGTTCTTCAACAGATGGTCAAATTTTACTAAACAGCAAAGGGAGAGAAGAAGAGCCTTTGTTGGTTCCTTAGAACGGATGCTTGTCAGCAGCATGTTAAATAACTGGAAACAACACGTGAAAGAGAACAAAGCTCTCAGGTGAGTAGATCCTGGGTGACTCTTGAGTTGTTGTTACATGTATTGAAATGGCCTAACGGTTGGCGTGGTAAAGACTGGGTCGAGAGGCCTGATCGCTTTCCTTGGGCCAAACTCTTTACTCGCAAAATTTCAGTGCATCATCCACAGGCAGCGTTGAGTTACAGCTGTAATATAGAATAATCTGCGGATAGTGTAAACTGATTTCTTGTGAGTTTCGCGATAGGGTAAGGGTTTGTAAAGGACTCACTGTAGTCTAGAATTCTCAAGGCTCTGACAAGTGGTTTGTTTTTGTATGCAGGAGCAAAGAAATTCAGTTGATCCAGAAGACGAATCACATCGCTTCGCGAAAAATGATGGATCGCTGGTTGTTTGCTATGAAGGTGGCTAACTTCAGAAAGAAAGCGAGAGTCAATTGGTCCAGACGCTGCACAATGTAAGTGGCAACTACTAGGAAGTTCTTCGCAAATTAAGGGTTTGAGGACGTAAAAATGTTTCAGAGAGAAGGAAAACGTTGTGAACGTATTAAAAATTTACATGTATGCAGGCTTCAGAGCTCTAAGCGCAGGAAAACGCGGAAAAAACTCTTGACCTAGACGCGCATGGTTTAGTTTTTGTTCCTGGTTGGTTAAGAATATATATAGAATTTGTAAACAAATCACAGAGACTGCTGGAAAGTAATCTGCACTATTTCGTTGCAGTTCATGGACTTCAGGTAGGGTTTGTCTGAAGTAGGGCGAAAACTGACCCGGGAGTGGTGAAGTTTCTCTTTCGAAGGGCCTCAAGTAGATCTGATGTTTCATGAAGTTCTTTTTTAGTTAATTGAAAATAAGAAAAACGCCTGGAAATATTGTCCACTTTAAAATGGGACTTCCCTTACGTGATTTATAAAGATCTCTTTGGCTCTGTAGTGCTGGTTTAACTGCATCCACAAAATATCAACGAAGTCTCAACAAAATGTCTTTAATTTCTTTGCTACAGGAAAGCATGTGAAGCTTGGAAGCTTCTTTTAAAGAAGAAGTACTTGGAGCAAAGACTGATGGTGAATCGCGATATCTGGCAACTATTGATGATGAAAAGTAAGTTTAAGAAAGCGTTTTCAAACAAAGACAGAATAAGGGGGCTTAGCAGAGAGGGTGGCTTTTTAGAGCTGGGGCCTTTTCGAAAGGGGGCTTATAATAGAGGAGACTAATTAGAGAGTGACCCACTAGAATTTTGTTGTGTTTTGTGTTTGTCGTTTTTGTCTCTCTGTTTTTTTTTCTTCGGGTACCTGATTTTAACTATCCCGTCTTTAGGAATTTTTAGGACCTGGAAACTGCAGAAGAGAAAAGTTGATGCAGAGAATGAAAAGGTCTTCAGAGCAAGAGCTATCTTGACAAAGAACTTCAAAGCTCGTGTCCTTCAGGCGTGGAGAGTTGTTAATCAGGAACAACAAATCATTTCACCCATGGTAGCTCGGAGAGAGAGGAAAGAAATGGCCAGGTACAGCACTGGGAATGGTTTTGGGAAAGCCAAGTCAAGATCAAAGCGGGGGGTGTGGGGTGGGAAGCGGGTTTTAAGTCTCCCCCCACCCGATGCCTTGTGGGAAAGCAGTGTGGATACTTGAAACCCTCTTGATGCTAATTTCAACTTTGGAATTGAAAATATCAATCTCCCAAATTGTGGAAATTATTTCCAAAGAATGAATAATACCGCATGGCTATAAGTATTTGCTATGAATTTCCCGCCTAGACTTTGCTTTTCGTAAATGCACTTTAACAGCTTTTGATCAAGAATTCCACCTACCGTAGTGGCTACATCTAATTTTTTGTCAATTGTTTAAATATTTTTATTGTGTCCTTAGTTCCCATCATTTTATGTTTTTATCTCTCATTTCTGATGTTTAGAAGTCGATCAATCGTTTTTACATATGGGAAACATGACCCACCATAAAATCTGAATTTGGTTGATTTATGCCAAAAGCATTTGTAACATTTCTTCAGTAACTTCTACGCTGGAATATTATTTTGCGTGGAAGTTACTGGAAGAATATTACATCTACTTTTGGCTCCAGCGTTTAATCCCACTATCACTTCACAGTTCAACAATCCTCTTGGTATATTTTAACACGTTGAATTTCTTTTCGGGTTCGTTGCTTCGCTCCGTTTACAAGTCAAATGAATAGCATAGTACCCTTTAAGCCTTAAGATTGACCAGCATCTGATTTCTCCGCACAGTAATACTGCTGAATCATTCACTACGGTCATAAGAATAAAGGAAATGATCGCCAACTTAAAAACACTCTGATGGTTAAACAAATTCTCCATGTCAGTACCAAAGAAAATGTATTGAAAGAGTAGAGAGAATATGGATTCTGATGTTAGGTTGTGAACGGTTTAGTTAAATATGATTTCAGGGTTTTTGATGCTTGGAGACTTCACGTACATCGCCTGAAAAATATTGTTGATCAGAAGACAAGAGCGACAGAAAAGATACTTGACAAATACTTCCTGTTTTGGAGGTAATGGTTTATATCCAATTATTTTATTTGTTTTATTTCTGTCTCATGAACCAACATTAGCTTTCCTTCTCGTATAAGCTAATTTTGTCTGTGACTGTCGCAGAAAAAGCAATTCATATAGCATCTTGAAACCATTCACTCCTAAGACTCAATCGCTCCTCTAAAAACCAGGTCCCTTTTTAATTATGCACATGAAAAAAATTACGCGCTTCTGATCAGCCGAAAACGAGTGCGCTCTCATGTAACACGACTGATATTTAGATCTAGGGAGTGGTAGAGGTTAAGAATCGAATTGGAAACAGAATAATCCACCAACAGCAGTTGTCGGAGTTTTTAGCTATGGTTAACTTTTTGTTCTGTTTTAGTTGTTTCTTTAAATTTTTGTATGAATTTTCTTCTTCTCGTTTTGCCACAGAGATCGGGCTTATCTTCGTGTTAAAGAAACAGAAGTAAACGAGACGCTGCTTCGGAATAAAATGTCAAGAGCTTTTGCTGCTTGGAGAGGTGAGGTCGACCGACGAGTCACGCAAAAAGCCTATAGATTTTACTGAAGGATTTTATCCGTTATTTGCGTCACTTACATGTGTACCCTTTAAATTGTGAATTTACAGGTTACATAAAAGATCAGCGGTACGCCAAGCTGAAAATACGCGCGCGACGATTTGAACTAATGGAGAAGTTCTACTCTTTATGGAAAGAAAAAGTTCAACATAGAGCTGAGGAGAAGGTCGAGGAGATTGGAAAGGAGGTAGGGTTTCTTTCCTAGCCCGCGAAGCTTTTAAGATTTAATAAAAATGTTATCGTGAGACTCAAAGTATAAAATTATCAAGAAAATGGAGGAAGCTTCAATTTCGTTTTGTGTGAATTACAGGCTCGAGGTTTGTTACTGGTCAAATGGTCCTTTAGATTTTGGAGAGCATCCGCTGACCGTCAGAGAGCGTATCGCTTGAGGCAAGATGAAATTGCGGATGATCTATACAGGAACACAGTTACGAGGAAAGCATGGGCAGTTTGGCTGAGACGTTACCGTGTGGAGGAATGGGCAAGGTGAGAAAAATGTTATGAGGGGAAGTGTGATTACGAAATGTTGTGTGAATCCAATTTTAGTCCATAAGTTAAAACCTGAATCTGTCGAATGAGCATTTTAATCCTCCGTTGGCAAGGTCTTTTGTAAGAAATTTTATTTTGGCTTAAAAGTTACAAAGGATTAACTTGGCCATCTTTGCTACTCTCTAAACAGAGATCACGCTCTTACAAAGAAGGACGCCTTTCTGCGGAGTATGTTTCAAGCATGGCACCGTATTACTAAAGAGATCCTACAAGTGGAGATGCAAAAGTTTGCTACCTCAGTGTCCGGCTTGGATTCTTCCTTTGGATCGTTCTCCCCTTCTTTTCGCCAGCCGTTAGGTTCAACCTTAGGCTCGACTCTTGGCTCCACTGTGTCTGACGCCCTTACTTCCTCAGGGTATGGCGCCTCCATTCGGAGGGGATCTGGTACCGTGTTTACATTTGGGTTAGCTCTCAAGGAGAGGGACGATGATGTAAGTATAACAACAACTGTGCACCCACCCCTCCCCTAACCCAATAATAGTCAACGGATAACAAGTTAATGTTGGTTAGGGGAGAGGTGGTTGTGTAGTTGTTCAGATACTGACAGTGATGCATATTGCTCATATTTGAGTGATCACTCAGTTAGATTTCGCCGTTTGAAGTTAGGATCACTGTTAAACAGCATAGTTTTCAATTCCTCATGGAATAGCGGTTCTTAAGCTTTCACTTGAATGGTTAACACAAAGATTTTGTTTACAGAATGGAAAGTTAAAATTTGTTTGCACAGCATGATAAACAATACTACACGAGAGACGAGCACAGTAGCCTTCAGCAAAACGGTCACAATCAAGGGTTTGCTCCACAGTCTGATACGTTAGAATGGCTTTTTAATACCAGATAAGATAACTGCTCGGGGTCAGATTTCCGCGCAGTCCAATACTTCATTATGCGTACAGTTCTTGGATGAAGAAAACAATGGAATAACGATAGGCTGCCTTTGGTACTGAGGCTTTGTCCTAGAATAATATGGGTTTATACAAAAATCTTTCCCTGTTCGGTGGCTTCATTTGAGTGGTTGTACAGTCCTTTTTTTTTGCAGCATAACAGAGAGTACCATTTAAAAGCACTGCTCAGAAGCTCTTGATTAAGTGATCACACACCAGGGTTTTTTCATCCACAGACTGAAAAGATAGAACCTAGTGCTGCACAATTAAAAGAATAGAAGAAGTTCTACATGAAATTACTGCTTAGTAGCGTTTATTTGAAGTGAATTCACGGAGGTTTCGTATGGGCCTGAAAACTTAAAACGGCATGGGGTCAATGATATTTTTAAAATTATTTTCAGACGGCCTCACTGCCAGGAAGAATCGATGGCATAGACCAGCTTTTGAGGCCAGAGAGTCCCATTGTTCGACCCATTTCCCCTATATCTATCCTGAGAGATTCTCGCCCCATGTCCCCCTTGGCGTTCAATTCAAGTCACACCAGTCCCGTCCCCTCCCCCTCTCCTTCCCCCAGTCCTGAGCATCCCCTCCCATCAACTCCACCCATTAGACTGGAGGACTTTTCTCCTGTGAAGTCTGAGGACGATACAGGCATTCACTCTGGAAGCAGCGAGACGGATCATGAGGTAAGAGGCGTTCAGGTGTGGGGTGGGGTGGGGAGGGACATTGTAAGCATGTTTAGAAGGGAGACGTGTTGTTCATATTTCTGTATTGGTCACATTTTATCGCCTAGTGGTATGACCGGTCTCGTATACAAGTTGGAAATTTTTTTTCACTTATCTACATCATTTGAAGATACTAATTAGATATCGGGAACATTAATTGTGAAGTTTGGTCACAAACTAAAGTTTGCATGTGATGTATCATGTGTGATTTGTGTGATGTGTGATAAGTTTTGTGTGATGTGTTTTCTGTGTTGTGTGATGTGTTATGCGTTTCGTACAATGTGTCATGTACAGGTGACTCCTCAATCTTGCTCCTCTACCTTATTTAGTCTAGGAAGTAAAGCTAAAATGGGTTCGAATTCAAACTTACACCCAGCCATCTTGACCTAAGAGTAATTACGACGTGTGGTCAAACATTGTTTTCTCTTTATCAATGGCAAAGAAAGTAAATAAAACTCCCTAGAGAGAATTTTGATCGTGATATTTCTTTCCTTAGGACTATGACGGTATGAGCACTGCTTCATGTACGTCCTTCACCGGGCGTAGCACACAAAGTGAACCACGTGATCGTGAGGTGATGGCCACAGAGACTATACTGCACTGGAGGAACCTGCCTCTGAGTCTGACTTTTAGAACGTGGCTAAAATTTACCCGCCAAAGGAAACTACAAATGGAGCTTTTGAACTACATCACAAACAACAAGACAACAGAACTGATGTCGAAAACTTTGGGAAAATGGCGAAGAGAGCTGTATACGAAAGTCACTGCAAGGCAACACTGGGTGGGTTGTTTTTGTTGTTGTTTGTATGTTGTTATTACAAGAGAAAAAATTGCCTTTTATACAAGGTTATATAATTTCGTTGCAAACACCAGCATTTGTATAAGTGAAATCCTCTAGGGACGCCATAAAATATTTACAAAATTCCCTCTTCCAAGTGAGAGACGAGGTCACGAGTGGTTATTGCACTTAGCTTGAGGCAAACGCTTCAAGTTGAAGCCTTAGCTGGGTCATAAGTCAAATGTAATCCGGGTCGAATATGGTCATCCGAGATTACTTTAGTTTGTTTCTCTTCGCTCTGTGATTGCTTCTGAAAACTCGCGTCACCCTCTTAACCAATCAGATGCAAAGTTAACACCGATCACGACTTGGTCGCCCGCGTTTTCCCGCGCTTTATTGGCTCTTAAAGTCTTTCTCTGTTCCTCTGATTGGCTGTTGCGATAACTTTGGTTTTGGATTTACGACGCTCAGTCGAGAAGTGTTCTTAAACGTTTTTAAGTGCCGTGGTCGCCCTTGAAGAAGGTGCATGCGTTCAACTCGCCGCAGCATTTTGCCAAAATCCCAAATCCATTCGATCAATTTAGCCGCAGGAATGAAGTCCATCTTTCTCTTGCTACAGCTTGACACAAGCCGTCTCAAATACCTGAGGATCTGGAACGAGTACGCTGTCACAAAGAGGATCCAAGAGGAAAGGAAGATGCTAGCTGATGATCACTTCAGGCTCTCAAGGCTCAAGGGTGGCTTTCAGAAGTGGAAGAAAAAGGTGCGTCAGGATAAGTTGTTCAGATTAATGGAATTTCCTAATTTTTCCAATCCCTGTTAATCTTCGCCATCCTAAGCCCTTTATCCCCTAGAATCCAGTGATAAATTCTTTCTTCTGACTGCCATATATTTCCTTGTAAATTACACAAGAGAATTTGGTCTCATTTTAAGGTAACCCCCTTAAACCGATGAGCTTGTCTGTTCTCATGATCTGTTTTCGAGATAACACACTGGAATTGCATGGAGATGTTGCATCTTGATTTCTTCTTGAAGGGTTAACCATCTTCGTTCCATGTTCATTCGTGCCCCGTTGTTTTTGTCCGTTGTAGCCAAAGAATTAGCCAAGAAATTATCTTAATGAAAGGCGATTTGCTATGACGTTTAAAAGAACTTGCTCTTCTGTGTTGTTGTTTATTATCATTATCATTATCATCATCATCATCATCATCATCATCATCATCATCATCATCATCATTATCATCATCATCATCATCATCATCATCATCATCATCATCATCATCATCATCATTATCATTATCATTATCATCATCATCATCATCATCATTATTATTTTATTTATTTTAGTGCTCCGCTAAGAAGAAGCTACAAGAGCTAATCGGACAGTGGCAGAAGAAGGCTATTGGTAAGTGCTGAGCAGAGTTCCAGGTTTTGCAGATCGTTAACCTCCTTACACACTTAACATCAGTTTGCATATTCTCTAAAGTGTTTTCTATATATTTCTTAAGGTGATGATAAAAAGAATATCCTGTTGATTTACCATTCTGTTCTGAGCTTTGCCAAAAAAGTTATATGCGTTTAAAACACTGTGACTCACTAGTTTCTGTGGTTGTTTGTAACTCGTGTGAGACAGCTTGGTCCTGACAGCCTGAAAGCACATCACCAAGTTCCCTTATGCTCAGCTGTTTGACCACTGTGTTGCTACATATTGCTTGCATCAGCAATGTCGAACAAAGAGATGAAGATGTTGAAACATTTGTTTAGGGCGTGGGACAAATATCTTATAAAGCCTTTCCCTTTCTTCTTCATCTATAGTGACCGAGAAAGACAAAGGCTTCACTCAGGTCATTCAGAAGAAGCAGAACGACAGATTTGTGCGGCAGACTTTCACTTATTGGGTGCAGATGACAAGGAAGAGTCAAGACGCCATGCGACTATACACAGACCGACTTCTACCAAAGTAAGCTGAACCTTTCTATAATAGGAAAAGTTTATAGAAGCTAGTACTTTCTGAAAGTGGTGGCATGAGTGTTAACTGTCTCTTTTTTTCTTACAGGTGTTATAAGGCTTGGCATGTCCTTGCCTCTACTCGTGTTTCTAATAGGAAGAAAGTGGTACTGTTTGGAGAAAGAAGGCTCTTGACCATGGTAAAAAGAGTGCTTCAGTGTGATGTGTAATTTGTGATGTGCGATGTGCTGTTTTATGCGTGATCCATGATTTGTAATGGGTGTGCTGTGAAATGTTTGACATGTCATAAATGTGATGTGTGATGCGCTGTATGTGATGTGTAATCTGTTGAGTGATTTTGATGCAGGATTTGTTAATCGTTTTGCTGTTAAATGTATGATGTCTTATTTGTGATGCTTGATGCGTTAAATGTGATGTGTGATACGTTGCATTATGTGTTAATACTATTGGTAGATGTTTGATTTGACACTTGAGTTCGAATTTGAGGAAACCACGTCCATCTACTGCGTTACGGCAAGAGATAAGTTCAGTCGTAGGAATCACAATTATTCAGCCTGTTCTTCACGCCATCTGTAACCACCAGTTCTCTCTTGCAGGCATTCAGGGAGTGGCAGGCCCGATTCCAGGCCATCAGTCTTGTTGACGAGTTTATCGAGGTCAGTGCAACAACGTATTTCTTGGTTTTAATGATTTGAATAAATAGCGGAATGCTTATGCAAGAAAGACAGAAACATGACAAATGTTGACGTAATATTAATGTTTTGTATTCGCAGATTAAGGAAGCTGATCGGCTGTTAGAAATTCTTCGAGTATGGCACAACTGGGCGAATGGTGGGTACCCTCTTTGGGTCTCGAAGCGCTTTAAAAACCTTTTCGATTGTCGATCGGATACTGACGGGCTATAGAATCGAACTTATAAACTCTACAGTTTAAACAGCTCGTGAGTCTGTTGCAGAATCTGAAGATATTTAAAATTGTGTGTTACTAATTCGTTACTCTGATTAACACACGTAGGGAAGTTTAATTTCTTTTCTTTTTGCTGCTTGTTAGGTATGAACACGCGGAGGAAACAATCTCGTCTTTTTCGTCGCTCTGTGGAATTGAAAATCACAAGAGAGATTTTTATCAACTGGTTGACAGGCGCTCAACAGCTTCAGATAGCCAAGAGGACACACGAATTTCATATATTGAAATGGTAGGCAAAAATTACTGTATTTTCTTGATAAAACGCTTGGCGTTTGTCAAATGTTTAGAATTTTTGATACTGCGTGTATTCAAGGGCTGACTTTAGTGAAATATCATGTTTCTTAAAGCACTGTCGTCAATTACAGTGAAGCATTTGTTAATATTAAGTTAAACGTAGATGTGTTTTTTTAATTAAGCCGTTTTAGTCAGAAGGTAATTCTAAACTTATCCTAAACAGCTGTAGGGTAATTTCCTTAAGTTAGTACTGATGGTTTGCGGTTGTATTTACAGTGTGTTTGTCGGATGGAGGGATGTGGCTCTGGAAAGGACAAGAAACAAACGAGCAATGCAAGAGTTCAAGAAAAACGTTGGCGCAAACTTGGTAAATGACGCTATTCCTAGAAAAGATCAGTTTGCTTTGTGTCACAAGATTACGCTCACTTTGAATGAGTGACCGCTAGATATAATTGATTGATTGATCAATCTATTGATCGAATCAGTGAATTATTGATTGATTATTTGACGGAATGTCTGGCAGGCTGGCTGGTTTCCGACCAACTGACTGATTGACCAATCCAGTCGACCCTCTGACTGACTCAATGACCAACTGACTGACCGACTGACCTACGGACAGACTGATTAACTGACTGACGTACTGACTGATCGACCAACTAGGTTCTGCGAGTTAAGATTTCAATAACTTACTTCCCATTCCCTATCGCTAGTATTCCTGATTCTTTTCAGGATTTATCAGCCATACGGAATGCTAGCATGTAGCTTTTAGGCATGTTTGTACGCCGAATTCTGATGTGCCACTCTGACAACTGGGATTTGAATCGCTATGCCTATATAAGGCCAAGCTTGCGTGAATGTGCTATGGTGTTTTCGAAGTAGCGTAATGAATGATTGACTCTGACATTTTGACTGACCAACTGACTGACTCGCCAATTGATTGATCAGTCGACAGGCTGAGTAACTCTTTGAATTCTGACATTTTATGTTATTTCCCATGGTTTCTCAGCTTGCTCGAAGCTTCCGTTTCTGGCAACAACTTCTGGCCCACTCAGAGTTATCGCGGGCGCACAATCAACAGCGTGATCACAATGCACTTCGGGAATGTTTCGAGGATTGGAGGAGTTACACGCTGGAGATCCGAGCAGACAAGTTCTACGTCATGGCGTTGCAAAAACAGGTATGAACCGTAGCTTGAAAAGCGATATAGATGTCCACCGGCCTTTCAAAAACCCACATCGTTTGAAGTATACGAGGACACGATGGAGCACAGACAATAAGGGAAGAATATTTCATACCACGTGGTACTAATGAACCAATCATCTTGGATGCCAATCCGGCCATATGTACCACGTGGTACAAAATACTCTTGTCTGACTGTGTGTACCATAGTGCCTCCCTACACCACTGTCGTAAGCAAATAACTTTGTCTCTAAAATCTTTTATGTTTTGAAAGTTATAATTTTTCAGCTCCAGGATTTGCGTAATTTTGACGTTTTCACAAGTTTTTTTTTGAAACCAAATTAATTTACTTCAAAAAGTGAATATTCCGCGAGTTTTAATCAGCGAGAAACACTCAGTAATAATGATTTGAAAGCGAAAAGTCAAACATGAAATTTATCTTGTGCATCGTAATTAATTAGTGAGAGTGACTTTTGCTAGTTTTAATAAGAATTATTTTACGCGTCCAGAAAATTTAATTAATCCTCCTAAATTTGTTTACTCTCGTTCGTCCAAGCTGAATACAAACTGCTTCTCTCTGTTACACTTTGGCAGTAAATTTCGCTCTCTGTTTCTTTCTGTCACAGCTATCGTTTATTAAACTTCAAATTGATGGGTTTTTTTTGTTACCCGTGGCTAGACTGTCGATAAATGATTTTTTTGGAGTAGCTCAAGTTAGTGTTATAATTAATTTTGACGCAACACAATTTGATTTAATCATCGTCATTAGCTGCCTGTATATTTAGCTGCCTCAGGTAAGAATTGCGATTCACTCTTAAGAGTGTTTGGTAGGTGGTTAAATAATTCTTTTAAGGCTTCTCTTTTATGTTTAAAACACAACTTTCCCATGGCATGTTTTGCCCAAAATTTCTCCATCTTTAAATCTTTGTTTTAACGTTAGTTTTCGGTAACGTCGGGAACGAAAATTCAAGCTGTTCTGAGTTGCTTCCTTACGTTGAGAAGCTTAAAATTATTCCCTTGCGTTACACCGTTTGTATTTGTGCATGTTTAACCATACTTTTTTCTCAGAATTTCGATTTCGACTCTCGGGTTGATGAACTTTTGTATGCACATTATCCCTCAGATGTTCCTGTGTTGGTACGACGAATACACATCCCGAAAAACCGTGAGTTACGTTCTTTGTGTTTTTCATGGCTCTGAAAGTAATTAAAAATGGACAGTAAAATGAGTGTTAAGTTGTATATGCTGGGAGACCAACGGCGGTCAGATCAGTGAAGCTACATAACAGCGGCAAGACGAAAAAGAGCACTGAATCGCGATGGACGTAAATGATTTAACTGATAATAATTCTGCTTAAATTTTGAACAAAATATGGCACAGAAATTTCGTAGTGTGGAAGAAATAAACATAAATTAATAAAAGGGGTAAGTTTCTAATTAAATAATTGCTGCCTTGGTAGGGATATTCAACAACTTGGTTTCATCAACAGAGTTATAATGTAAATTGCCCACCGTAAAGAGTTTCTAAAGCTGATATTTGGAGCGTTAGCCTTTCGTCAGAGTGATTGTAATGTGTTGCAATTGAAGTTTTTACAAGTGCCAAACAAGAACTTTCTCATTCTTTTCAAATATAAACACTTTTATTTTATAGACACGTCGTCTTATCCACAGTTGGAAAAGTATTACAGAAGGTACGGGGAAATGTTTGTATGTAAATGTATTCAATGATGGCCACCGCTCGACAGTTTGGACGCGAACAAGAAAAATATAATTGGGTTACTGGTAAACTTTCCGCCCAAAGACTAACGTTTGTCTCCCGTAGTAGCCAGGCTCTACTAGAGCACAGCCCCGCTAAAAGTACACCATATTCGGATAAATTTAACTCCAGGTAGTTTTTTGTTTAGAACAATAAGTGTGAGAATCATTCGGTATGTTAGGTTTATCATTTCTTTGTCAAAGAATAAGCTATGCTTTTTCAAGCTGAACCACTTTATAAGCTGTTTACGAAAATGACACATTATACAAAACGCATAGCCACCATACATACACAAAACTCATCACACATCACACAAAACTTATCACACATCACACAAAACTTATCACACATCACACAAATCACACATGATACATGACATGCAAACTTCACTTGACCCTTTTTCAAGCTTACCCACTTTAGAAGCTGTTTACGAAAATGATCCTTAACGTGCCTGCCAGCTAAAGTCGTCAACAAATCTGCATTTCAAAACATATAGGTTACGTGTGGGCAAAGCTTTAGTCGCTTTCTTTTTTCTTTTTCTTACAGAAGCTAAAGTATTGAACAACAGAGCCATGCATATCGCCGAAGGGTCGGAGAAGAAGTTGTTACGGCGTATGTTTGATAACTGGGTGCAGGAAGCTCATAAAGTACAGAAAGCAAAGAGTCATGCGAGTGGAAAGATGATCAGAAGGTAATGATGGGAATTTAGTGGAAGACGCGGTAGCTTAATGCTTAGCATCGCGTGAGGAATAGTGGTTGTCATTCAATTTTCAAAGTGAAACTGATTCTGTTGCAGGAAAGATCCATCTTCCATTTCCCGCTCTTAGATTTTTGGAGTTTTTGAAAAATTGCTTTTGAAATCGGCCTTCATATTAGAAATGTCCGTTTCTTTGACATTTTCAAAGGATGAGGAATATTCCTTTTACTTTCTCAAACTTGCTCTTTTAAGCTTTAATTAAATGTAAACCCTTCTTCTTCAAAATCCCGTCCTTGGGTTTCTCAGTGATTGCTTCTGGCAATCGGGCGAGCGAGTTTTATCCACGCTGTTGCTCCAGTTTCGGCCCGTTCTTCTCTTATAGTGGGCTTTCCAAGGCGCGATCGCATTCAAATTTCCCGCTTCAGTGCTCATGAATAGCCAATGATGTCTAGGCATTCTGCGCGATGGTGCGTTGGACCCCAGGTCGACAAGTTTGGGTTCATAACCCAGCCGGGTCATTGTGTTGTGTTCGCGAGCAAAAAACAAAACTTTCATGGTGCCTCTCTTCACTCAGGAGTATAAATGGGTACCGGAAAATTGTCAGGGAAGTGGGATGATATCTTGGGGGGGGGGGGGGGGGTAACCTTGCAATGTAATTCTCCTAGTCTTTTCATCCTAAGGGAACCGGAATAAGCTCCGGTTGGATGGGCCAGTTGGTTCGAGAACAGGCTCCGCCTTGGCTTACTAACGTGAATTTGGAATCAAGAGAGCATGAAAAAGTTTTCTTTGCTTGTGTTGAGCAGATGGGGTTGAATGTATTTTTGCTAAATAATGTGATTCTTTTCCTTCAATAGAACTTTTCTCGGATTGCATCAGTATGTGCAATCACGAGTCGAGAAACGTAAAATGTTACAGGAAATACTGCAAAACAAGGAAGAAGAATTGGTAAGTTTAACACCGTGCTGGGATAATCGCGAATGCATTCGATAATTGCTCGTCGATGTTAGGAGCTGCTTCGGTGGTAACGAGTACCTTCCGAAGTTTCTCCGTAGTCAGTTATATTCGGACTCGGAAATACCGCCCGGAATGTTTCACTCGCGTGAAAAACGTTGCTATTTCATCGTTATTAGACGTTATTTTTTACGATCAAAAACTGCTATTCAATTATCGTTTTTCATATATTATTCTGTTGTACTAGTTCCTTAGGGTTGTTAGGACTCAGTGATTAGCACTTTATTATCGAACGACTAATCAATGAAGGTTTAATTGCTATGAAAACAAAACATTTTATTGGATTTTGACTGCGAGAAGATAAATTTATGTGTACCGTAAGTGTAAGAAAGTACGACAGTTTTCGCAACCGCAAGTTCAAAGGTAAAGACTATTTTTTTTTATTAATTTAGTTTGTCATTTTATTTTTCGCTTCCAGGTATCTAAGTCCTTCAAAACTTGGAGAGAAAGATTCCAACGCAATATGAGAAACCTAGAAGTCTTGGAGGAGCATCTTCAGAGGAAAGAGTCTGAGTTACTTCACTACTGTCTTGTAAAGTGGGTGAAATTCATGCTGCGGTGTAAAGCGGAAAAATCTTACGAGAAAAAAATCGTACACAAGGTCAGTTTACAAAGTTGAATTGTGGCTTAGTTCATCCACAACAATGCGACACTAATTTCAAAGGCGTAGAAAACTACACAAAATAGCGAAAAGCTTAAGTTTTGAACAAAATGAACTTATTTGGAATTAGTTATAAGTGTTAACGGTTGCTTAGTGACTGAGTGAATGAATTTACGTAAAGTGCCTATGTCGAAGCAGTTTATTGACGCGGTTGGAAATTTTTCCCAAGATCTGATTGTTTATTCTGCCCTAAAACTGCTACACATTTTCTTCTAAATTAGTTATAATAATTTGGTGTTAGATAAATGACAACCTCTGCCTGATAAGTTTGAGTAGTCTCATTACCTGTTAGGTGTTTTATGTCTGGATATTACAGGGAGAAGTTACATATTCATCATTTTTGGAAGTTCGAGAGTTAAATCCTCGACATCTGCCGGTTTACGGCTGGTCGTGTAATTTCACTCTTGACCTTCAGCTTAAAAAATGAAAATAGTGATTTGGAAAAGTTATGGAATTAATATTGAATTTTGTAAGATGTTTATGGCCTTAGCCGTACATCGCTCAAACACAGAACTGTAAACTGAGGTTTAAAACATTAAATACCAAATGTTGTTATTTTTTTAAATGATATTTTTAAATAGAAGTGTTTTTAATTACAGTTATGCCTTTCTTTTTTCCGTCAGTGTTTCACAAGATGGTGGCTTGCGTTATACACCAAGAAGGGCTCTGAAAAACTTCAAGAGGTAAATGTCTCAAATGTGTAAGGAAAGCAGAAGAAAAAGATTGGAGTGGGAAAGTTTTTTTGTCGTCTCGCTTTTTCTTTGAGAGCTTTGCTGGATGTAAAATTACATATCTGAAAGTTGTGGTTGAAGGGTGAGAGATTATGTGGAAAACATGGCTCACTGTCCAGAGAGAGATCGTTCGACCGGTGCTTTGTCGCTGATACCAAAGCTCATTTGCAATGGCAGTTTTTCTCGGTCTCAATGTACGAGAGAGAGTTGCTGATATGTCTTTTTGACCTTACAACTTTCAGAAAATGCTTATCAGAAAAACCCGAGAAGCTGGTCGACACTGGAAACAATGGACGATTAGTGAGTAAACGGTGTTTATTGGTCATCCTGAAGCAATTTTTTGTTAAGTGTCGCACGTTTTCTATGATTTCGTCGTTCTTATTTCACTACTGTGATTGGCCAAGAAAACGCGCGCCTTCTCTCTCAACCAATCGAGTGTCGCAAGTAATCCAAGTTTGCTTTTGTTTTGCTTTACTTCGCTCTGTGATTGGTCCATAAAACTGGCGCCGCCATTTCATCCAATCAAATGGAAAACTAAAATTAATCCCAACATGGTCACTTGCGTTTTCCCGCTCTTTAAGCAGGTTGCCTGTTTTTACTTTGAGTTTATCACTGGGTAATCATGATGTTAGTAGTCGTTGGGACTATACTGGTTTTTATTTTTCGACACTCAATTAAAACTGTTTTAAAAACGATAGTGACTTGATTGCTCACGTATTTCTGTCCTTCGGGCAGTTTGCTAGTTTTATCATGAATTTTGGCTGGTTTCTGTTTTAAATTTTTTTTTACTTTGGTTTTCGTTTTGCGACATTCAGTTGAAAATTACTTTTTTTAGCCGCTGTGCTGATTGCGAGTTTTCCGTTTACAGAGGTGAAGAAACAAGCGGAGATGGCGAACGATCTTCAGACAAAACACGGCAGACGTTTGGTTCATTCATACTTTGTGCAGTGGACTGAAAAAACGCGGCAGATGCAACAAGCAAAGGATTTGCACACCCGCACAGTATTGAAGAGGTTTGTGGCGACTAAAAATTTCGTTTTTACTGCTACTCAACTCATGCACCTAGATTTAAACCTGGTCCAAAAAAAAAAAAATACAATTTTCAGTCAGAGGCGATAGAATAGCGAACGAACTTCAAATGTTAGCGATGCGTAAGGCATCATGTTGTACAACACGCTTAAACTATTGAACAACTCTTTAATTAAACAAATTGCGTGTTTGATTTGCAGATCACTGGCGGAATGGCACCAATTTTCAAGAAAGAAGATAGATGAACGGAGGAAAATTAATTCTTTTCGAGACCAGACAATGAATAAAAAGGTGTGTTACGACGATTTCCGAAGCGCCTCTTTCTTTCTGAAAAAAATACAACTTTGCGTTGACACCGCAAGAGCTCTCAAAAAAATCCTGAAACTGGTTATGGGTAGTAAACAATTTCCTAGCCAATAATAGTTATTTCAGTTTCAACCGAGATGTTGTCTAATTTTGTCCTTTTGTGGAAGAACAGCAAATACGATTGGAAGAAAAACGTTCTTGGGATAAGTGCGACAGTAACCTTTGTGGGCACTTGAACTGAAGCCTTGTATTCACCGAGGCGAAGAAATTTGAAAACGAAACTTCATTCCTACAAATAGACCAACCGTTGACACTCATCCGCATAAATTGTTTACAAGCTTGGTTTTGGAAAACGCTCTACTTCATTTATTAATTTGGAAACGTTGACTCCGTCTTTTATTGTGGATGGGAAGCTTTTCGTAAACGCTAGAACTTTTTTTTTCGCTTTAAGTGTGAAAACGCTATTTTTAAATTCCTCCGGAAAAGGCATAGCCTTTTGCAACACAATTATATTCTTTTTCTTTATTATTTAACTTTTTCCAGGTTTCTCGCATGTTCTATGATTGGCACGAGGCGCTTAAAGTCGCCCGCAAGCACAAGGAGCTGATAGACGGACAGATGGTTCAACACAACAGACGAGTGAAACAGGGTTTTATGCGAGAATGGAAAAAATTTACACTGAAGAGCCGCGCAGAGAAACATTGTAACAAGACTGTCACTTCTAAGGTACGGATTGTTACAGTCTATACAGCAACTTTCAGCTGTCAATGTCGAATTGCAGTGCATGGTTTTGCTTTACTTCGCCCTGTGATTGGTCCAGAAAACTCGTGACACCCTCTCAACCAATCAGATGCAAAAGTAAAAACAATCACGACTTGGTCACCCGCGTTTTCCCGCGCTTTAGGCAGTTTGCTTGTTTTCACTCTGAGTTCTCATTGGCTCCTTGTAACATTTTCCTTCGCTCTGATTGGCTGTTGTGATAACTTTGGTCTTCGACGTTCAGTCGAGATGCGTTGTTAATTGTGATGTCCCGTTATATTACCTTACCTGACCAACTGATAGATTCGTCTTTGTTTCCAATTGCACTGACCACAACTGTTTTTCTGTATTTTATTTGGTACAGTTTTTTGCCGACTGGAAGGCAAAGACAGAACAGAAGCAGGCAGAAAAAGAAAAAGATGAGGTACACTGAAACCCTACTTTTTCGGCAGCATTGTTTTCGACTTCTGATTGTTCAATCTACCCGTCGGGTGACAGTGGTGAAAAAATAAATATTTTACTAATCTTGTTTTCTCAGTCAGTTTTTTAAGTTACGGATGTTCGTTTTCCCCATTTATCAGTCACAACGTACATTTCGCACCCCGCACTTGGTTAGTTAAGTACGTTTAGAGTGAAAATATGAGGCGTTTACAACATCAGCCTTTCACGTGGTTTTCGATTAGAGTTACTTTAAACAGCGTCACATTTGGTTCCAAATCGGCTACCAAATCATGTGAATTTATTTCGTTGCAGCAACAAGAGGAAATCGCTGACGAACATTACCAGAAAAGGTTGAGGTAATAACTATAATCAAACGAAAAAACAGGTAAGCTCTCCTTAGCGGGAGAGGTCCAAGGTCCATCTTTCTTGTCCAAAAGGGAGTCTGCGATAGTTGGATTTATTCCATAAGATCAGGTGTACAGACTTGAGCCCTGGCCGCGGCTATTGTTTAGTGTTCTTGGTCAATATTCACAAGTTTCTCTATACCTTAACATTCGCTGGACTTGTGTATTCTATTCAGAAAGGACACGCGTGTCTTTTTACCAAGATTGCAACCTAACGCTCTGAGTTACCTCCATCTCTACTGGGTGACGTAAACTGACGTACACTTCCCGGGTAATAGGTGGAAAATTTGCGTTTCCCTTCGTTTCGCTTGTTGGATCATTTGTCTGTGAACAAAGGCTGATTCATTTCTCGCACTGTCATTTGTTCCTTTCAGCAAAATGTGTTTCCGCGCCTGGTTTCATGACACAAAACTTGAGATACACAGCAGAAAGAAGGAAGAACGCATTGTAGCGAAGCACTTCATGATGTGGAAGAAGAGAATTGACTTGAACTCGATCGCCACTGAAATGGTGAGACTCAGTAACTGTATTGCACTAAGCGTCGCAGAGTTGAGGGAACGCATACTTGGATTGTACTAGTTGTCACTGAAGACCTTTAATCTTAGGAGACGCAAGAAGGAACAACTTGAGTTCCAATATTTTCGTTCGTCTCTGGAGAGTGCATACTATTCATGTCGTTTTTCAGTATCTGATCATTTTTATTTATTTATTTATTTATTTATTTATTTTTAGGTTGATCGCCGTGTATTTGAAAAGTTTTGGACGAAATGGCGTCACCAGTTAATAAGGAAAAGAGTGTCGGAAATGATGATGAAGCATGAAGACAAGAAGCAGCTATCTGAGGTAAGAGGAGGCGTCATCTTCAATCTCTTAGGGCTAAGAGAAAATTATTGGTATTGGTATTCGTATTGGTACTGGGGTTTCAAAAGAGGTGGGGAACTTGATTTGTAAGTGGGCAAGAGAAAGAGAAAAAATTGTACTTCCAGGGAGCTGAGGATAACCGGGCGACCGAGATGTCGAGAATTTAGAATACAGGGAAGTTCGAAATGCCCGTCGAGGGACCCAAGATACGGGGTGGGGGTAGGGGGGCGCAACAGATACTAGACTTATGAAGAGTTTTCCGGGGGTTCCAGATATCTTAGGAGCCGAGATATCCTGGCTAGAATAACAGCAATAGATTGTCAAGACTCGGTCCAAGTTCGAGATTCAGGAGCGTAAGAAAAATAGAAATTATTCCTTAACATAATAACATCTCATTTAAAGTACCTAAGAATGTCTACCATGTTCGTAATGTTTTTGCTTCAAGCAGAAAAGCAGGTCACTTATGTACTGTTTTTCACCTAATAGGTTTTCATGGCTTGGTACCAGCTCACGCTCGTGCGCCGTCGCTTGCTCAAAGGATGGCAAATGTACAAGACAAAGAAACTCTTTAGGCTCTGGATGCAAAAATACAACGAGTCGTAACCTGCGAGTGAAAAAAACTACCGTTTTGAGAAACGACTTCAAAAAACGCAAACTTTTCTTGGTCGTTATAAGATCATGGGGATCGGTCATTATTTATTTCCGGAGGGGGAGGGCTGAAGGATTTTGGTTGTGTCAAAACAAAATTTACCTGAACCCCCCTTAGGCTCTGTGGTAGTTTAATGATCTCATCCCACAAGCATTAAACTTGCTATAGTTTTGACCCTTTACACTGTGCTGGCGCCGAGTGATCCTCCCTCCGGTCCCCTGAAAACCATTCGATCTTCCCCCCCCATCCTCCAATCATCCCCCCCCCATCCAGCCCTAAGACGAAAATAATGACTGGTTCCTAGATAGCATCACCTTTTGCGTCTGAAAATACGACCACAAAATTTTTTACACGGATTTTTTCCACCTTAAGGAAACATCGACGACCATGTACATACTTTCGTTGTAAATTCGTCTGTTGAGTTTTATGAGCGAGAAAATATGAAGAATTACAGTGGACAAAAGAATTATCTCAGTTAAGCTAACAACGTTTCGTTTGTGTAAAAATGCATGAAGATTTATAGTGTGCATATTCATTTCAAAATGAAGTAATTATTCCCGAATAACAGCATCGTTTTATTTTGATATTTATTTTTTTTCATCGTTTCCTATTTGTTGTACATTTTCTATTTTATGAGATGATTTTTCAGATGATACAAATAGATATTTAAATGGAAATTTCGTATTTATTTTTTTAACCCTCTTGTTTGTTAGTTATTGACTTAGCATTGCGGAAAATTGATACCTCTAGTCGTATTAATGTTTTTGGGGAAAGGGAAAAAATTTCTAGGATAAACATAAAAAATGCCAAGGTGTGAATGATGAACCCAAATTTTTTTGAGTTTGTGAGAAATTACTCTTAAATTAGATTGCATCTTCTCTTGCTTTTTTTTTTTTTTACCTTTTGTTTCAAGAACCTGCAAAGCTATCTCGTATTTAGTGAAATTGCATTTTATTATGAAGATTGCATCGATCACTCAGTGTAAAGTATTGATTCTTTGTAGAATGATTAATTATAGACTACGAGTTGAATAAATCTCTTTATTTACTACTGTTGTTCATAGCTATCTACCGTTTGGAGCCATCTGTGTTATTAAAAATTAAACCAGTATGGAACCCTAAGAGGGAATGTAGTCTAAATTTGCGCCGTTTTCTCGGATCCTGTCCTCTTTCCTCCCGATTCTGGCTCATTTTCTGAGCAGAGGCTGGCAAGGGGCCCAGAGAAGTAACGTCGGTTTAAGAGGAGTAAAGGGCCCGTCAGAAATAGAAGCTCTAGACGAGGAACTTACGAGAAAGTGTGCGGTAAATTGTTATCATGTCATCAGGTGATCACAACGTGCATTGCATTCAATTTAGTGACCAGTTCACTTTATCGACATTGACATAACGGCTTGCTGTCTTCCAGTTTTTGAAACCGGACAAACTTATTGTAAATGATCGGCAGAAGAGGTGTTATGAATATAACACCTGAGATGGTGCACAGTCCACCCAGAATCTTCCCACCTGCAGAAAAAAGAAGAAAATGTATTTCTGTCAAGTACAGAAAGGGCACCTTTTCCTGACACTCATTTTTTTTTTTTAATCAATGTTAGTATCTGAGCAAATGCAAACCTACCCTTTCCCCCAACCCAGCAACCGATAACAAGTTAGGATTAGTATTGAGTTAGGGGAGGAGCAGTTTCGCAGTTGCTTAGATACTGCAGAGTATACGGCACAAAACACATGTTTCTTACATCGTGTGAGACATACACGGCCGTCTGCACGAATTTTTTTCTAGAAAGATCATGAAATCGTGATAAGAAAGTCATTTGCGCTTTAAGAGTTAAATGAATGATAAGCGGCTAACAGTTTGCCATCTATATTTCACTATCCGCTGCGTCAGCCAATCAATTGTAAGCTAGTGATGTCATAGCTTGCAATCGTCACACATGCAGTGGACGGCTTTTTGATTTGTTCAAAGGCTTGGAGCCGTCATGAGATTCTATGGGTTCTTATCTCGACGTCAAAAAGATTATGTTCCACAACTTTGGAAAAATGAAAATTGTGTAGTACCTTGATAAAGAGACAATGAATTTTACACTTACCAAGAGTGTTTGGAACCATATCACCATACCCAACAGTAGTAATTGTCACAACAGCCCACCAGAACGAGTGAGGAATACTTCGAAATTCCGTTTCTTGGTCCCAAGTTTCGCAGTAATACACAAGAATCCCAAATAAAATGGTTCCTGTGAGAGTTAAAGAAACCATCGTCCACAGATCTGATAGACATGCGGTAACAGTTTTTTTAAGCACTATCATCGTTGAAGCGTAGCGAGAGACTTTAAGCACTTGAAATATTTTTGAAAGATGGAAGATCTTGATCAGATAAACAGGGGGTGCTTTCGACTTTTCGGACACGACCAAATAAATGTAGAATGGTAAAATAGCGGCTATGTCCACGATGTTTAGAAATTTGAGTAGGAATCTTCGCTTTTCTGGCGAAACAAGAAAACGAATAATTAACTCCAGTGTGAACCAGGCGATGCAAAATTCCTCAGCTCTTGAGGTGAAATATTTCACTGTGAAGGAATTGCTATCGTGGGTCACTATTGCATTGTTTTGGTTTGTACTGATGTTAAGGTGCACTCCACTATCTATGACTTCCTCAACAAGATTCGAGTTTCGTACGCTTGGAAGACTTTCAATGCACAAAATAGCAATGGCGAACAAAATTACCATCAGCGAAAACAACGTTGTGATTCGTGCGACGAAGCTTGAATCTGGAGACTCGCAAATTTCCCAAAACTTTTTTTGACAAACTGATTTGGGGGCTATCACTCTCTTTGGAAAAAATGCACTTGGAGTTGGCAAACTGTGTCGCCTTTCTTCCGAGCTCAAATACTCGTACAGGCCAAAGAAATGAAAATCGTCTGCTAAAAGCTGTAGCGAGAACGTTTTACTCGGAAAAACTAGTATTCCATTTGTTACGTAAAAGTAAAAGATGCTTTCAAATGTCGTTCGATTTCTGTCAAAAAAGAATTCGTGGTTCTCTTCATCGTGAAAAGGTGCTCTTTTTTCTGGATCTGCTAGCAAACTTGTAGGAAATCTTAGCAGTTGTTGAACAGTGATTACGTATGGTTTTCCACAGACATTGACTCGTATCTTTTTTTCCCTGCGGGATAGAGTCTCGCAAGAAATACCGTCACGATCTTCCGAGGGATTAAGTTGTCGCTCTGGGTCGGCCCTCTGTGCGCGACGCACGAACGTTTTCGCCAATCCTCTACGGTAGATCTTCGGTGATGTCGGGTAAGTTTCCAAATTTGATGGTTTTCCATAGTAAGGTAGCATCTTGGGTTAACATCCAATCGCCAGACGTCACTAGCGTTTTTCTTTTCTTCTTTTCTGCACACCAATTGTTGTTTCGGTTCAAGACCAATGCAAGTGACAGCATGCGATCTTACGCCAAACCACATTCTTTACTAAGTTTGTTTACATCTCGAACCCTTAACCTTGTCAGCGGATGACTATAATACAATCTATCATCGAGGTCAATCTGTTCCATTTTTTAGCCGATTAATCTCATTAAAAACAATTAAAAATGTCTTAGGTTCTTCTCTTCGTGTAGCCAGAATTTGAAATTGCACATTCCTCTGCTCAAAAATCCGCGTAGTATCGAAAAATAATAAACAGAGGCGGTTCTACGATTTCTAAAGTGATTGCCCTAAGTCTGTGTGTTATCGGTGCGAATCATTATTGTCTTTTGTGATACCATACTGATTATCACAAGTGGCCTGTCGTGAAAACGAATGAAACCAGTCGAGTGTTTTGATGTGTACTATAATCAGCAATAATGAAATATGTTTGCGGTTTAGAAACCATTTTTTAGCTGATCTCTTCCTATTTCCGATTTTTGGCCCATTTGAAGAGGTATTTAAAATGCAATGTACTGTAACCTTATGTATGTGGCTTTATTCCGCTGATGTTCCTTTATTTTGAAATATTTCGTGTATCACTTACATTATTTCCAGAAGATTCGCAAAATTTTAGCTATTTTTTCTTTTTTTTTTTAATGCCATTTACCTTTTGCCGATGACATTTCCGCCCTCGGAAACAACAACAAAGTAAACGATTAACAGTACTCGATGACTATTTCCCCTCTCTGTAGCGGTGTTACAGCTCTAGCACTTAAAGTAATTTTTGCACATATAAACTAAGAAGTTAAGTGGCCATTAACTCAGTATTTAATTTGTACACAACACTTCTTCTTACGTATAAATACAGGAATTTCAATAACTTGTACCATAAGCGGCTGCCAATGGCGCACGAGAGATGCAACACGGCCCGGCTGCTCGCTAACTAAAAAGACAGCGGCGAATGGTCTCATAGGTGACGGTAGACCGCTGTAACCGGCTTTTCAACTAACAACTGAAAAAGGAACGGTAGACTACAGTTTAAACCCGTGTAGAACAATTTGGTGGATTAAAAACCTCCCGGCAGAAATGCCTCCTTCATACCCTAAAATACAAGAACCTACATTTAGCCAAGCAAGATCAAGCAGGTTCTTATATTTTGGGTTACAGTTATATCATGAAAAACATTTTAACCGTGGAGTGTAACTTTCAGATCGCAAATTTGAGTATAACAACGACATACTGCACCGAACTGTAATTACAAACGAAAATATTAATCCCTACAACAAAAACAAGTTAGTGTAAAGTTTTTATTAGCTTCATGGATTTTGGGTAAAAGAGGTTTACAATGTATTGTATGCATTCTTGCGGTGTAATAGTCCAAAACTTTGCCTTTTCAGTCAGGTGACATTAACAAAGTTAAATCTGGTTTTTTTTCTGACACCTGAAATATTAGTCTATAATCCACTTGGATTTCAAGTCATTAACCCTGTCCTCTGTTGTACTGGGCACCAATCCATTCTGCCTCAATCTTTCCATAGTTACACAGGAACCTACTGTGGAGCCGTGTAGGCCTATTAACACTTGCAACAAGTGTAGAGAAAACTGGACACACCACGGAGTCAGGTAAGCCTGTCTACCCCAATTTACACTAAAAAACCTAATTAAGAACCTACTCAGCCTAAATCGCCAATAGGGACCCAAAATGCAAGAACCTACTTTACTAGACTTAACTTTGTTAAATGTGCACCTAACTTTTAAAAAAATAGGTCCTTATACGCAGGCTTACACTTTATCTCACCATACATCCGTGAATCCAGTCCAAGACAAATGGTCATGATTTTACCAACTGCAGGCCTCATCTCCATGCTCAAAACCGGGCTCTCTCGTTCACACAGAATCTCAAAACAATTAAGCAGTACACTTTCAACATGAAGATTTTCTTATTTGTTTTGTCTATCCTGGAACGAGCTCTAACTTCTGCCAACCACCAAGAACTTCCTCGCGGTCATGGAGAAGAACTTGGCAAACACAGAGACAGCGATGGGCATGTAGAGACTTTGCAACAACTTCCATCGCCTCAGGAGTTTTGGGACCAATATGCAAGTTTGCGAAAACCTGTTGTTTTTCGCGGAGCAGCTAAAAAATTTCCCGCGTTCCATTTATGGACTGATCAATATTTAAAAGACAATTATGGCGAGTTAGAAGTTAAACTGGAGGCTAAACGCGAGAAAGATCATGTTCCTGTTGGGGAAAGGGGTCTTGGTCGTGACACGATTCGTAGTTTTCTGGAAACTTATCAACAGAAAGATTCCTATACTGTGTCTCAGCTGCCCGATCCGTTGTCAACAGAAGTTTTCGTGTTACCCTCCCTGATGTGTGGTTCTTTCAGTGAGAGAATTTTAGAAGCAAATCTTTGGTTGAGTTCGGGCGGAACTCGCAGTATGTTGCATAAAGATGCAGACAATGCCATTAATTGCTTGCTCAATGGCACCAAAGACTGGATACTCATTCACCCAGAAAACGAACAAAACGTACGATCTTGCAGATAAGAATTATTTTGAAATCTTCATTTCGTTTTTTGATGGAAAGATGGCTTCAAATAATTTTTTTTGTCAAAGAAAGCTCTCTTGAATTGAAATTTGTCACTTCATTCAAAGTTGGAAATTTTTCATGCTTCCTTGCTCTATTCTTCAATTCGTAGATCTTTTGTACTGAGATCTGCATCTCAAAAAGTCATCACCTTTGTCATTGACGCCCTCAGAAAAACACTTTGTTGTCAAATTTACCTTAGAAACTAGTTCAGATTTTTTAAAATATGAACCTTTGCCATGGTAATGAAGTATTTGAAATCTGATAGCAATTAACATGATAAATTCTTTAGTTTTGATACTCGATTGCTCAATTTTTAAATTCGTATGAACTATTTACTAAGCTTCCGCATTTAGCAAAAGGTCCGCTGCGTAAATAATTGCTAAGCTTGGTGAACAAAACGTGGTAAATAACCACTGTTATTACCTGTATGAAACAGGTGTTTTTTCGTTGAATAATTTACTTATAAATTGTTTCTTTAAGACGTTTAGTCCACTATCTCTTTTAACTGATTCACAATCTTTAGTGATGAGAAAACTTTATTTGAAAATCTTTGTGACTTTTTCAAATCTTTGTTAAGAAAAAAAATGGAAAGCTCCTGTGGACAGTTGTGGTTATGGTTTTCAATTGGATTTTCCCTTTTAAAATTTCTCAAGTGAAAATATTTTTCCTTAAGTCTAGATTGTTTCCATAAATTTGAGATTTCTTAAGTTGACACTTTCATTTAATTGAGAATTTTTTAAAGTCTTAGATGATCTATTTTCCTTACTGTTAAGAAAATTTTCAACTTGAGAGGGAATGGTACTCAACTTAATTGGGAAGAATATCCTTGTGCAGAAAGTTCTTTGCTTTCATGTAAGGAAAACAATCTTGATCCAGTTAAGCCTTTGAGTTGTAGCAGCTATTCACAAGAGATCTGATGTCTTTACTAATATTTGTGGATTGCAGATACCAGTTGCTGATGGGGACAGAGGCTATGGAGGGTTTGCCACATTGGACGTTCAAAGTGTAAATCTTATCAAATATCCCAAATTCAAACAAGTTAGATGGCAGTATGCAAATATGACACCAGGAGATTGCCTGTTCTTGCCTTACAGTAAGCACTACTTACTAGCCATATGATGAAACCAAAGTAAAAAATTTTTGTCTTTTTATTGGTTTTTTTTTAAACCATTAGTGTTACATCCTGCACTTTTGCTACTGACATACTATGTACTGTCTTGTAATGCTAATAGTATTAAAAAACAAATTATTAAAAAGATAGATTGAAATTTTTCACTTTACCGATAATACTAAAATTCGATCCTAACATAGACATTTGATACTAAGAATAATTACCATACACTATCATGAATGTCTAGACTATATGTACATGAAGATTTTAAGAGAAACTTTCATCTCGAGAATTAAGCACTTTAAAGGGAGGCAAAGGGTTGATATTTTAAGCATATGATAAATCTCAAAATTAATACATGGCACATGAATTTTGCATAAAGGCAATGTAAGGTAAGATTTGAAGTTTTTAACCTATGAAATACTGTTTTAAGTACATGTGACATGCAAATTTCTAAAATTTGTGCATGAAAAGAGATTGGGACCCTCATTCTAAGAAAGTTTACAGAGTACACGCATGTATTAGATAGTTTCTAAAACATCATGCTCTATCAGTGTATTAGGTAGTGTGTACTAATAACTGCATGCAGCTATTTCAAAGCCTAACATTTTTAACTAAAGATGGATTTTTATCATTTATATCAGGTTACTGGCATCAAGTGCGATCATATGGCTCCAAGAACATGGCTGTTTCAGTTCTATTCTCACGCCTGACAGAGTTTGACCCTATTGGATGTGAGAGTGCTAAGCTAGAGTACACACCCCTGTCTGATGTGAACATGGTATGGACATACCCAGGACATGGCCCACAAACCATGGGGAACTTAGATCCATTTGAAATGAAGTACGTATTACATGAATTATTCAATACTAGAGGGTATTAAGGGCTAACAACTATAGTAATTGAAAGTAGAAGATAAATAAGAAATAGAAGCTGTGGCCAGGTTAATCTGGACACCATGTTGTTTGATCAGATTACACGCAAGACTTGGAACTATTCACATCAGGTAAAATGTCCCAGGTGTTGTGCAAAGTTTGCACAGACCCTTAAGCAACTTTTTATTGGAAAGTTAACCCTTTATCTCCTAAAAATGAGTAGGATCTTATTAATTTTTACAGTATCCAAATTAAACAAAACCAAAGTGATCCTTTTTTAATTGGTATATGCAATCAAGTTAAAAGTTTTCCATGTGTCCTCATTTGGCCAATTCTCAGATAAAGGGGGTAAGTTTCTAAAGAAACAGCCAGGGTAATTTAATAGTATCAACTGGGTTGATAATGTAAATAGGCCACTTTAGCCCTTTAACTCCCATGAAAGACGAAGACAGAATTTCTCCTTACAATATCAATACAATATCAACCAGATAAATGATGAGAATCGAGAAAAATATCAATTTGGGGATAATCAGTTGATCCAATACTACATTCTCTGAACTAGCATTATAAGAATTGTATGGTTGACAGTAAGGAGAATGACAAATTTGATCTGGGAGTTAAAGGGTTAAAGAGTTTCAAAGCTGATGTTTTGAGCATTAGCCCTTTGTCAGAGCCTATTCTAGGATAAGTTCCTTTTCCAATTGATCTTGCATGAATAAATAATATTATGCTCCTTGGGATCACAGTTGATTTTATCTTTGTTTAATTTGTTATAGAGATCATTATATCAGTTTTGTGGAAAGTAAGAAAAGTAAGAGACTGGACATAGAGGACTTTTTTCAACTACTTACTGAAGTAAGGAAACCTATACATGAGTATGTGTGATCCTACAATAATTAAGCATCCTGTGAGGATTTTTGAGTTGAATAATATGATACCACTGTAGCCCTTGTGAGATATATGATGACACAATGATTTCTGTGCTGGACTCCAGGTTAAGAAGTCTGGGTTTGAGACCAGGCCAGGTCATTTTGTTGTGTTCTTAAGCACGACACTTTAATTTCACAGTGTCTCTCTTCACTCAGGAGTATTTTCTTACTAATCAGGCGTGAGGGCTGTACTGGGGAATATTGACCCAAAGTCATGGCGAGGTGTATACAAATATGATCAAGGGCCAATATTTCCTAGTATGACTCCAGCACTCAGACAAACTTGTTTATTTTGGAGACAGAAGACAGAAATATGTGGCTCCTAAAATTTCCATGGAAATGGTCCATATAGAAAAATCCAGACCAAGCAAGAATGCTCAGATTTACCTCAAGATCTAGACTACCTTGCCATATAATGAAAATGGGTACTTTTTACCTGGAAATTGTCAGGGAATTTGAAGCCTGATGAAATGCTAAGGGACAACCTTGTGATGGCTGGCATTCCATTCAGGGGGGAGTAGCTCTTCCTCCTTGTTGCTTTATGCTAAGGAAATCGGGATAAACCCCAGCTGGGTGGGCCACTTTGCTCCAGAGCAGACTCTATTACCTCAGGTTAAGAGAAGTAAGGGACACTCCCTTTCTTCTCTTTACAGCCTCTGGCTAAGAGTAATTTTGTTGTAAAACACTTAAAATGGCCTGTGAAGGCAAAAAAATACCACAAATGCATCAATTATCATTTCATTTAATTTTAGTGTGATATTCAGACATAGATGCAATTTAGATATGCAATTTTCAGAGCTGTATTCATAACCCTTGTAGATTTTGTTTGTCTCTTGTCAACGATAATTAACAGACACATAGAGTGGTCTGCCTGTGCTATGACTTACTTTTGCTGTTCTTGCAGGGTGAAGTTATGGAAGAACATGAAGATGTTAGAAGAAACATCGCTGAAAAAGTAAGTTAGTAATTTACGATGACATAGGCCAACAACAGCAGGCGACTGGCAAAAAGTTGAAATTTTATTTATTATTTAAGTAGGGAGGGGAATGAGTGAAAACGAGTTAACATTAAAAGTACAACTACAACTAAAAGGCATAAATTCTTAGGAAAGAGAGGAGAGATTGTGTGCACTTTAAAATTGTGTATTACTGTAGATCATCGATGTTCTTGTCTCGTGGCCTCCGAGTTCCCCGGTTTCCTACACTGTATTAAGTTTTAATACCAAACAAAGAAAACTTTTGTTTAAGATTTCTTTTCAATTGAAAACCAAAGTAATCACAACAACCAACCTGAGGAAATGAGTTGCAATACTCAATTGAAAATGTCTCTATTGGTTGAGAAAGTGGTGTAAGCTTTTTAAACCAATCACAGTGAAGTGATTGAAGTAAAAAGTTCGAAAATTTTATATAATTTAAGTAATTAAGGAGGTGAATGAGTGAAAACAAGTTAACAGTAAATGGTACAACTGCAATTAAAAGACACAAAATTACAATTCTAAAGAGAAGAGAGATTGTATGCACTTTAAAATTGTGTGTTATTGTAGATCATTGAATGGATATACTTGTCTTATGGCCTCCAAGTTTCCCCAATTTTTTTATGTTTTAATACTAATCAAAGTAAACTTTTATTAAGGAACTCTTTTCAATTCAAAGTGAAAGTGATTGTAACAACCACCCAGAGGAAAAGAGTTGTGATACTCAATTGAAAATGTCTCTATTACTTGAGAAAGTGGCATAAGCTTTTTAGACCAATCACAAAGAGAAGTGATTGAAGTAAAACCTTGAAGAAGTCTTAGACTAGGTTTGACGTGTCAAATGAAAAATACTTTGTTTATTTTACCTTTGAAGGTTCTTAAAATAATGGATGCTGAAAACAAAGGTTATGTCACCAAACAAGACATTGAGGCCCTTACAATAGAACAAGTGAAACAAGTGGCAAATGAGATTGATCCAGACCCTGCAAACACTGAGGAATATGAATTTGCTGTTTTTGATCTGAATGAAGTCAAGTAAGAGACATGGAACGATTCTTGCTACTTTAATGCCACAATATTTTTTTTCTTTTTTGACAGTAGTTTTTAGAATTTTGATGAAGAAGAGACTAATTTTATGTCAGTGGTAGGGCAATAATGGATACCTGTAGAAAAACCTGCCCCCCCCCTCCCCTCCCGCCCTCTTACTTGCCCCTCACTGTGGTGCCCTTGGTTGGTTTCCAGGCTGACGTCATTTGTGAGATATGTCTCTTGTTGGTTCCAGTCCTTCCTCTGAAATTTTTTCTTGGTCTCCTGTTTTCTTCCATCCCTTAAATCCAGAATTCTCACAAGCGTTTTATTTTTTTCCTCTTTTCAGGTCTGTTTTTAACCAAGCTTTGCAAGATGGACATGGAAAACTGACAAAGAACAACTTGATAGCACGTTACGAGGTAATTAACATGACACCTGCAGAAAAATTGTTACTGGAAAAGGGGTCCAAGAACTAAGACACTTACAAATATAGCAATTTTCAACTGGGTTGCTTCACTTTGCCCTATGTAATTTGTCCAGAAATCTTGTTCCTCCAAATTTCACATTTACCTTAGAGCTTTTCAGACAATTATATAAATAATGTTTAGACAATTTGTCAGCCACAGACATCATCAGCTGACATACCAGCCACTAATTATGTTCTGTGTTCATGTTAGTCACGATTCATGGCTATTTTTTATCCTCTAGGATTTTGGTGGCTCTGCTAAAGTAGCGAAGGAACTTTACAACATGCTTCAGCCTAAAAATGCAGATTTTGTGTCAGAGGAAGAACTGAGGGAGCGTCTTGATCATGTCTTGAAGCTTTATTTGAAAAAGAAAGATGATGATAAATCAGGTTTGAAAAGCACACAAAACTTTAGAGTGACTCTCTTTTGAGTGTCAAAAGTAACCTGTGATGGCATCAGTTTTGCCTCACTCTGCACTGTGATTGGTCCAGAAAAGTTACTCAATTTGCTCAACCTATTGGATGCAAAACTAAAATCAATGACAACTTGGCCCATTTTCCCATGCTTTAAGTTGTAAGCTTGTTTTTACTTTGAGTTGTCATTGGCTCCTTAGGTTATTTTCCTTTTTTCTGATTGACAGTTGACTGATTACTTCAATGGTTTTGGTTTTAAGACACTCAATCAATAAGCACTCCCAAATATGTACTCATTGACTTAGTGGGAGGGCTGCAGTGAAGTCTGCGCTTTTTCAAAGAAAAGCTAAAATGTTGCTGTCAGGCCCAATCAACTTCAGTCAATAATCATTTCATCATATGACCATGAAGACTTGAAAATTTGTTTGAACCTAATTGGAGTGCCCTTACACAAATCAGTAATAAGGGGGCTTTCAAGGCAACTATAAAAAAATCAGACAATAAAAACCTTTCCTTTATTTCTTTGAGTCAGGAAAAAAATCATGAAAAACACAACTTCATCTCTAATTTTTTGGAGAGATCCACTCTCTGAAATGCTTTTCCAAGGTGAAGTGTCATTTAATGTTGTCATATTTTTTCTTTCTTTCAGGAATTTTCTATGAAAAAGAATTGGCTGAAGATAAAGAGATCATGAAACAAACACAGCTACCATCAGATAGCTTGGATTCCATACACAGAGAATCAACACACTCTGAGCTGTGATTTTCCAAAAAAGCACTTCTTGATAAGCCCACCAAAGTTTATTTTGTTGTCAGAAAAATGCCTTGGTTTTTTTTTGGCTAGTAAAATAAGCTTTTCACAGTAAATTATAAACAAATTCGGAAACTATTTCCTGAAAATTTTCTGTATTTATAATACTGAACAAAAAAGTAAAGTGAATATGCTAACTAGTTAAAAGTTACTTCCTGTAGGAAGGAGAAGTGAATAAAACTAGAATTAAAGTCATCTTATATTTTGTGTGGATTTGTTTCTGTATGCGCATCTGGAACAAATTATGGCAGGAAAGGAACAAGCACCTGAAAAATATCTATTGAGGCATTATCCTATTTTAACCCTTTAAACCCTAAGGGTTGCTGGCATTTAATTTCTTCCCAGAGTATCACCCCTCAATACCACATTAAGGTCAAGAGGACAAGGGAAATGATCATCTCAACTAAAGAAGCTTTTGATTGTTTGAAAATTAAATTCTCTCTGTCAGTACCCAAGGAAATCGGTAGAGAACAGTATGGAGAATATGTATTCTGATATAAGGATGTAAAAGGTTGGTGGATCAGATTATTTCATTGGTCCTATTGTGAATATTAATGTCCTATTTTAAATGGTGGCTTACAGCCCTGTAATTAATACTCCAATTTTAATTTTAATTTTATCATTTTTAACAGTTTTGAAATACCGTGTTAGAAAGCACTCTACTTTGTACGGTTCCTTAATTTAGACAGCCCCGAGAGAAATTTCCAGTACCATAATTGCCTGTTTTTGCACGCGTTACGTACCTTCAATTCATGCAAGAAGCTTAGCATCCTCGCACACTGCAAAGAAGAATGAGAACGAGTAAAGAGCGAAGTGATGGCGGTCGTGCGGCCTGTAGTTCTCGAATGAATTGTTAACATACAGATCAGTGATACTTCACCTGATCATTTCAGCGCAATATGTCTTCAAATCCTTCTAAGCCAAGCCTCAAAAGACCCGCTGAGTCAGAAATCAACGATGAAAAAGATGACAGCCTGGACAAGGCGGAAGAAGGTTTTCGGATAAAAACTCTTGATGAAATTCGACTAGAAAAACGAAGACGCCTTGAAAAAGATGATGCCTCCGGAGAGGAACGCAATGGATCACCAACTGACAATTCGGGAACTGCTAGCCCAGTAGATTCAGCCAGACGAGATCGGAAGCCTTCCTCGAAACAAAGTTCTCCGGCGGTTCAGGGAACAGAAAGCGAAGTCATTTACCAGCTTAGTCCTGAGCAAACTAGTTTGTCTTCAGGTAGGTAGATCAGGTACAAATGATTACTTGTCTTCTATCGTGGCCAACACACTTAACTAGCGCAATCAGATAATGTTCAGTTTTGGGCAACCTTTTGACTGGGCTCTAACCCAATTTTTCCAATGTCGCCATTTAGAGAGGTAAAGTTTCCAAAGCTCCCTCGAAGTAAAAGTCTAGTATTAGCTGTCGCTCTTTTCTGCAGGCTCACTGGACCTCTCAAGGCTTGTTTCTTGGACAAGCTAGACGAAAGTAGGAAGTTTTCAAGACGGATCATTAATTTAATTTTTTGCAAACGTTTTACCTCCAGTTATATCATGAACATCAATCAATACAGGCGTAAAAACTTCGACTTGCTTTTGATATGCTGCTCTTCTCAGGTAGCCAGTTTGAAAACTTTGGTTGAACATTTACTAGCCAAATTTATGTCTTCTCTCCATGGGGACCCAAAAGATTGCAGCCTACTTGCTGCTTGAAAACTGCTATTCTTCCCCAGCCATGTGATTATACACACACATGTACCTGTAAACCCCGCCTGGAAAGTGAGAGGAAATTCCTGCTCTGTATGAGCCCTGTAATATGTATTTCAATCATCATTGTTACAATTTCAGCATCATCACCAAGTAGAACTCCGAAAAAGTTGAAGCAACCCTCATATCATGATGGTGGAACCAGTGGGGTCCAGGTGAACAGGAGAAGGAAAACAGAAGAAGAAGAGGGTGAAATTGTGAGCGACCCATCTGATTCTGAAAGTAGAAGGAGTGAGAGCAGATCAAGAAGGTACTCATCTATTAGTAATCCCGAGGTTGAAGAGAAACATGAAGCCACAGAACAAAGAGGTAAAGGTAAGAATACAGCAGTGGGCTCTCAAACCCTTTGACCCTTTAACTTCCAGAAGTGATGAACATGCAACTTCTCCCTATAATATCCATACACTATTCAGCAAACAGATAACGAGAATTATCAAACTTATCAGGTGGATTTGATATCTTGATCTAACACCAAATTCTTGTTACTAATTTACAAGGTAATGTGTAGCAGGGGGAAGAGAGAGTTAACAATCAGTTCTCGGCAGTAATAGGTTCATGATAATTAAAATGGTATCAATAAATGAGTTTGAGGTCATGTCGATCGATATACTTTGCTTTAATACACCATCGGGTTTTTAAACTGTAACTCTTTTGGGTCTGTTTGGCTTCACAGCACTGTTGTTTATAATTATTGTTATTTGAATTTATCCATGCAGATGTAACACTAGAAAAGAAGACAGATGATTCAAGTGAAGAAGAGGATTCTGATGAAGAAGAAAGTGAAGAAGACACTGAGACGGCAACTGCCACCAAGAGAGTTCAGCAAGGGAGGAAGGAAATGGCAGAGGGGAAGAAAGAAAGCAGTGTCTCTGAATCTGGAAGTGATAGTGAAGAGAGTAGCAGTGATGATGATGACGATGATGGAGATGAGAAGATGGAGGAAGTAGTTTCCAAGAGTGAGCAAAAGGAAAGCAAAGTAAAGCAGCAGAGGGAACCTGCGTTAAAGAAAAGTGCACCAAAAGAGATGGTTTCAAAAAAAAATGATGATGATGATGAGGGTGATGAAAGTTCTAGCGAAGAAGAGGACAGCAGTGAGGAGGAAAGTGAGGAAGAGGAGAGTGAAGAAGATGAAAGTGAGAGTGACAGTTCAGAAGAAAGTGAACAAGAACAAGTAAACAAAGAAGTTGTGGAAAAGACTGAAACCATGAAGACAGAGGAGTTTGAAACAGAAGATCTCCATAAGGAATTGCAACAGCTTAAACGTAAAAGACCAGGTGATGAGAGGCATAGACATAAACTGAAAACAGAGAGACATCATTATGAAGAAAGAGAACACAGAGGAAAGGGACAAGGCTCCTCTGATGCAAGGAGTGATAAAGAAAGGGTCAGGGAGAAGGGAAAAGGCCAAGTAAAGTATCAAGGTGATACAGAAAGTCGACACTCACAAAGCAAAAGTAAAGGAAGATCTTACGAGAAGGGAAGATCTGATCAGGTTGCAGTGGATCTTAAACATAAAGAAAGTCGCGATAAGCACAGATCATACCCAAAGGATAGCACTAAGCTGAAATCAGAGAGACCAGATGCAAGAGAAAAACAGTCTAAGATGGATGTGGAGAGAAGAAAAAAAGACAGATCACGCAAGGACTCAGAGAAGCGTGTCAGGTCTTCTACTGAGGACTCTTTGAACCATGAAACAAAAGGCAAAGATAGGAAAAACTACAGTGGCAGCAAAAGGAGTAGTTCTGCTTCGGAGAAGAGTAACAAGGAAAGTAAAGATGTTGAAGAAGATGTTCCCCAAAATGAACCAAAGAAAGAGGAAGGAAAGTCACTGATCCTGACAGATCGTGAAAGGAGACAGTTCACTAACGAAGTTGTTGACATAGAAAGTGAGGGTAGCAGTGTGGAAGATGAAAAACAAGGAGTTCCCTCAGATGTTGAAATGAAGCTTTCTGATGGTGAACAAGAAGATGATGAGGAAGAGGAAAAAACCAAACTCCCCATACTATCCAGCTGTTCGTGGCTGTAGGAATGTGGAGGAGTTTCAGTGGTTGAATAGAATTGAAGAGGGAACATATGGGGTTGTATACAGAGCTAAAGACAAAAGAACAGGTTTGATTCTTGTTGTGTTGTGGACCATTAAAAATGTGATTTATTAAACAAGTTATCCCTCTTAGACACCATTCCTTCCATGTATAATTCACAAGACTGTTACTTAACAAATAGATTGCATGTTGGTGTGCATCTGTTCAGTAATACATGTAGATCACAGGTGAAATAAAAATATGGTAGGAACAAAATACAGTAAGCAGCGCATGAGACGCAGCTGAGTATGTCACTGATATTCTTGTGACTGTTTGGCATCTTCTTGTGATCTACCGTGTATTACAGACCCACAGCAACATGGAATTTATATGTTTATACATGTATGATAAAAAAGCAAGCTGTTGTTAACCCTTTAACCCCTAAGTGTGACTAGCATCTAATTTCTCCTCACAATATCACCCCTGAGTCACAGATTAAGGTCATGAGAATAAAGAAAATGATCACCAACAAAAGAAGCTCTTGATTGTTAAACAAATTCTCCTTATCAGCACCTTAGGAAATGTATAGAGAACAGTATGGAGAATATGCACACTGATGTTAGGGTGTAAAGGGTTAATGGTGATGTCATCTAGACATCTCTCTTCCAGTTGATCATAAGAAAGAACTAGTCAAATACATGTGTAATTCAGCTAATTAACTTCTTTCCCTAGAGGGAATGCCAGTCCAGAATTCTGTCAGGTTTCTCCAGCTTAGTTGTACCCATTTCTACTCTTGTCTGGAGAGAGGAACTCTGAGAGTAAAATGTCTTGCCTAAGAACACAACACAATGACATGCCCCCATCTTGAATTTCCAAACCTCTCAGTTTATCTTTCAACATGCTAATGATAGGCCAATCTCATACCCCAAGCATTAAAAAGGTGAAGTCTGTACTTTAGCCAAGTGGCCCATCCAGCCAGAGCTGATCCCAGTTCCTATAGCATGAAGCAACGAGGAGTATTTTAACTCCCCCCTGAATGGAATGCCAGTCCATCATAAGGTTACCCCTGAGCATTTCTTCAAGCTTTCCTGGCAATTCACTTGTGCCCATTTACATGTATACTCCTGGGTGGAGAGAGGAACTCTGAGGTGAAAGTGTTTTGCACTAGAACACAACACAATGACAAGCCCACATCTCAAATCTAGACCTTTCCAGTCAAGCCCACTGACCACAAAGCCACCATGTCTCTTACCCCAAGAGTGTTATATCAAAATTAGTAAACACCCTCTAGTGGATGAATGTCTTTCTGTTATCACCTGTTTCATTTATTAAACCCCCCCTCCTCTTTATATCAACAGGTGATATAGTTGCATTGAAGAAATTGAAGATGGAAAGAGAGAAGGAAGGATTTCCAATCACATCGTTACGGGAAATCAACACTCTTTTGAAAGCACAGCATCCAAACATTGTCACAGTTAGAGTAAGTGTACTGGTTAATATGCTTCCATATTTTTCTGTAGAAAAATGTATATTGTTATTAAGAATGAAAATATGGGATATGCAAAAGGAAGAAGACTGAAATGTTGAAAAGTGAACACAATTACAAAAACCAAGGAAATATTACTTGTTAATTTATATAATTTGCTCTCTTTAAATGCTTCTTTTTTCCTCTTTCTGTAGGAAATTGTTGTAGGCAGCAATATGGACAAGATATACATTGTAATGGACTATGTTGAACATGATCTAAAAGTTCTTATGGAGCACATGACACAGGGATTCAGAATAGGTAAGCTTTTTTTTTTGCATTGAGTTGAAAAGAGGCACTGGATGAGATTTCAAAACAGGTCTATCAACTTTTAATTAATGCTTTTATTTCAGTCAGCATTCAATGTACAATGTGTAATACACAGTACAAAACTACATTATAAGTAACTTAACATTGCGATTTAGCAGTTGACAAAAATGTCGTGATGGAAATTTGTTTATTATTATTGCTGAAATTACAGTCGAACCTTGGTTATTGTGACTCATAAGGACTGGGCTTAATAGCCTCGCTAATTGAGAGTCTGGATAAAAAAAAATATGAATATAGATGTTTGTAGACAATGGGACTGGAGAAACAAGTCTGTGTAATCGAAAACTCCAGGTAATGGAGGTCGTTATAATGGAGGTGGAACTGTGTCATTGTTATTGTTATATTTGTCATGAATTTCTTAAAGATTTTTGTGTGGCACAGGTTGGACTTTTCATTTCTTCATAACTCGTGACAAAATTTTAAAGTCCCATTGCCTTTAAACCTAATTAACCTTGTCCTTGTTTCTGTACTCTAAAATTTATTACCCATCACATTAGAGGCCCTTTTTTTAATCTTTGATGTACATGACTGTACAAATGTATGTATTGGTACTTTAAAAATATCTAATTATGAAGATTAATTGTTAGACTGGCAAGATATGTAACGAGTAACACAAATTTTCACATAATGAGTAAACTTTTTCTTTTTTCATACATTTAGGTGAAATCAAAACTCTTATGATTCAACTTCTACGGGCTGTGGCTCATCTCCATGACAACTGGATACTGCACAGGGATCTAAAAGCCTCTAACTTACTGCTCAGTAATAAGGGAATCTTAAAGGTTTGTTAACACCAAAGAATGCAAAACCAAAGAAAAGTTGTAAGGGAAACTGCAGTAAAAAATGTTTAAAATGGTATATGAAATTAATAGCATTCATATACTTAAGTACTACATGATGCAGTAGTTTGTTGACGAGCTGGTAAATCCGAGCATTTATTGTAGTGCACCTTCATATCCACTGTGGCGTTTGTATCAATTCTCTCTAGGTTGGTGATTTTGGACTTGCAAGGGAGTATGGTTCTCCACTGAAAAACTACACTCCTGTCGTGGTGACTCTGTGGTACAGAGCACCTGAACTCTTGTTAGGGACCAAGGTACTCTTTTCTCTTCTTGATATTCAACTTCACAGTGCAGTGCTTCAAGCTGCAAGTGTTTTTGTTGCTATGGAAAGTTGAAAAAGATTTTGGCAACTAAGTTTGCAGTGAAGTTTGCTTATTTGGTGACTTATCTTTGGCAGCGGGCTGCAACATTTTAAAGACTTACAAAATTATGTAGTTTTTGTGGTCTTATGTTGAATTGAGAGGAAGAAAAGTTGCATAAAATAAAGATTGCTTTATAACTCTACTTCATAAAGATTTGCCCTTTTCTTCTTTGTTGTTGGAGTACATTATGCTTTTACATGCAGATGTTACATCAACCTCCAAAACAGAGTTAGCCACAATGCTAATTTCATAGCTAAGGTGTGGTCAGGAGAATAGTGCATCGCCCAATGTTGTACAAAGTTTTGGGTTCTCTCTTGTGCTTCAGGACACACAAATGTACCTAATAGAGAAATGAACTTGGATACAAACATGTATCTCAAAATATTTTACTTTTTGTTCTATTGTAGTTCATTTATTGATGAGTGAAATATCAAATAACATTAATTTTGTTCTTTGTGGTTTTGTTTTTAAGGAGTACTCCACCCCCATAGATCTTTGGTCGGTTGGTTGTATATTTGCAGAGTTATTGACCATGAAGCCATTGTTTCCTGGCAAATCTGAGATAGACCAGATCAACAGAATATTTAAAGTAAGACAACATTATTATGATCATTAGTTGCTCTTTTCAAGACTGATTAAAATGAGTGTTTGATCATTTTTTTCCTTCTTAGGAGCTTGGCACACCAAGTGACAAAATTTGGCCAGGTCCTCCGTCATATTCAGAGCTTCCAGCAGTACAGAAGGTACATTTATTACTAATAACAGTTATTATATTTTTACCTGATCACTTAAACTCCAAGTTGTAACTCTTTTGAATAACGAAAAATTTTGTTTAATTGGTAACTACATTTGAAGCATATGTCACTCAGTTGGTAACCTCAGTACTCTGTGGTCATGTGACAAGCTTCCCTTATTGATGGTCCAAAGGTAGACTGACATGAAAATTTAATGCATAAAATAACATTATTTTAAGCTCCATTTTTTTTCTTTTAAGAAAATTTCTCCTTTCTCCAAAAACAATTACTAGACAACTTTGTTTTTTGTTTGGTTTTTATTTAACTTTCATCTGGCTACTTCACTTCAATTTTGGGTTTTCTAGTGACCATTTTTGGTGATTGCTTTCCACTGAAAAGCAGCATCAGTTTTCATTACTCTTTGGTCTGTCTTTTTCATGGACAAGAACAGTTTTTCTAGAGCCACTTGGATGTTATAAAGAGTCTCATTCTGAATTTTCCAAACTTGGACAAAAGGAAGTTCTTATAACTCATTTATTTAGTCTGTTATTGAATGTATTTAAATGTTTTTACTTTTAGATGACCTTCACCGACTATCCTTACAACAATTTGAGAAACAGGTTTGGAGCTTACCTCACAGACAAAGGCTTTGATTTGTTAAACAGGTGAAGCTTCAACTCCTAACATTCACTTCAAATTCTCCTTTACGGCTGCTTTCATTTCCTTGTTAATTTGTGGAGAGAATTTGTTGTCATGTTACGTATATTTAAAGGAAAACTTTCAATCTTTTTCAAGGTTCTTGACATATGATCCAGACAAAGATAAAAGAATTACAGCTGAGAATGCTTTGAAGCATGCATATTTCTCCGTAAGTGCATACTTATTTCATATTATGGATTACACTTTAGGAGATAGCATATAAAGTGTATCAGTTTCTGCTGTTACTCTAACCATAATTATAGGTAATTGAACCAAACAAGGAAAGAGAACAATATTTATAAAAATATGAGTAAAGGAAAAAGGTCAGTTGTTTGAGATCTAAGAAAACAAAGGTGATTCCTTATTGGTTGTGACTCATGAGGGAGAAGCATTCTGCCCCAAAAGCATAAATATGAATATCCTCTGAATCATGGAAAGTCTACAAAGTCCTTTTTTCTTTGTGGCAGAGCTGTGTATGCTCTCTCTGGTAACTTACCAAAAGCTTTCCATTCTTGCCTTCTTCTGACAGCAAAGATTTTTTCCTTTCCACTTCCTTTAGGAATCTCCCCAACCTGTGGACCCCTCCATGTTTCCAACATGGCCAGCTAAGAGTGAAATGGCAAAAAGGCCCAAGAGAAAAGATGTAGAACACAGTCCCAAAGCCCCTGAGGGAGGGGCTATGTTTGCCAAGCTGGTGAGTACCAGAGTTTATTGATTCTTTCTTACTGCAATAGTAGTAGACAGTTCGGTTTCTTACTAAGGAATTTGTCATTTTTTATGAAACAAGGCACAGATTTGTGATGTGCTGGTTTGAAGGACTGGTTGATTAAGTGATAGCTGGGATAAGTTGAGTTATTGAAAGAGAGCCGACAGTAATTGACGGATTTATTTACTGAAAAACTGACTGATGGAGTGACTGACTAGGTGGCTTTTAGTCTGTTCAACTGGCTGATTCACTGACTTACTGATTAACTGACCGTCTGATTAACTGACTTTCTGATTGACTGTCTGACTGACTGACTGACTAAACTACCTGCCTGTTGACAGAATGATTGATTTATGTATTGATTAACTGACTGTTTTTCTTACTGACCGATGGACTGTCTCTTCACTGGCTGATGGACTTCAGGACTGATCATCTGATTTGCTGACTGATTGATTGATCTACTGCCTGATTGTGTGATTGATTGACTAATTGACTGACTTATCATTTTCTATAATTTTTCTTGTTTAATAACTTACTATAGTAGCTGCACTTTTATCTATCTTTGTTGTGGTTCTTTTAATCATGAACAAATCATTTACAAGCTCTTACAGCAAAAATGTTGCAGTGTCTGGTTCAAGTAAAACTTGAACCAGAGATTGCTTAGGCTCCCAGTATTTTAATGAATATGATTATCTTTTATTTATTATAAATTTATCTTTTTGTTTATTTGTTCATTTAGGCAGATGAGGGTGACAGTGGTAGTGGTAGCTTGGGATTCCGCATGCCGACTTCTCAGAAGGGATCTGCAGCAGTTGCTGGATTCACTCTCAAGTTTTAGTCGCCTTACATTGCATCTGTTTCCAGTTTACATAAAAACCTAACAGTGTTTGTACATTTTATTGTAAATATTTCCTTTGTTAAGAAGAAAAAAAATAAATGATTTTGCATTACTAATGTACATTGTGAACCATGTGATGAGTAGAAAGAAAAAGACCTTATAGGAAATACAGAGTATGTGCCTCAACACCGAATCCCCAAAGCTGAAATTATGATAAATGGATGGTAGACTTTTAGAAGGAAAGGGAAAATGAACGGGTAAAGTTATGATGTTCACAATGATTGTAACTGAAGTGATGACTGTAAAGCATTTACTTCCATAGTTGCAATCTCTGCTGTAGAGTGACTTGCAACTAAATTCTCCCTATGAAATCTCCCCTCAATCACATCGTAAGGTCACAGGAATACAGGAAATGATCACCAACTAAAGAAACTCTTTATTGTTAAACAAATTCTTTTTGTCAGAACAGTAGGATATGTACAAAGGACAGTATGGAGAATATGCATACTGATGTCAGGGTGTAAAGGGTTTAATTCTCTGTTCACTGAACAATCTCAAACCAGAAAACACTCCAGACCATATTACTAAACACAACACGATTGTTGGCATTACTTTTTATAGAGGAAGGGGCTTTCTGTGGCTTGTATTCCTCCAAAATGTGTCACTATACCAAGTTTTTTTTATTATTATTTCCAAATAATAACAAATTTTGTCCATTTTCTGGACTTAAAGGGCCTGTTATTCACATGACGTCCAACTCAAACTGTGGTTTTATGCAAGCAGAGGACCTTGCATATTCTCTTTAAGAGGGTTGTTTTCACTAAATAATTGTCTTTCTATGAGTTAGATTTTGGCCCCCTTAATGTTGTTCACAAAAATTAATGTGCAGATAATATATTGAATCTCTTAAATTTAGCTGCATATTATGCAGCTAAATTTAAGATAGTTTAGAATGCATTTTTGCTTAACATCAGTTAAACTTTGTTTTAATAACTGGCCCAAAGAGTTTTAACCTTTTAACTCCTAGAAGTGATTAACATGTAGTTTCTCCCCATATTATTTGTACATTATCCAGCAAAAAAGGTAATGAGAATTAAAGTAAATATTGTTTCAGCTGCCTCTGATGGACTGTTACATTAAGACCAATCTTTTCTTTTCGTTACCATGCGTTCTCCGTATAGCATGCCTGTTTCCTTAGCCGTCATGCATATTTGGCGGAGAACTTTGACGTGGTCTAGCCCTGTTGTCATACAGTCCAAAGAAACAGTCGCACCCGGCCAGTGCTTCGCAATGAGCAACCACGCTCGAGACACATGCTCATCTAGCCTCAAGTCGTCGCGCGAGGAATCTGTGACGTTGAATTCACTTTGTTTGAACAAAAAGTACAACAATCAACAATCAGGTGATTTTTCCGTGCAGGGCTTCACGATCCTGGTCAGCTGACTTCGTCTCGACCAATCAAATGCTAGCACCAGCTTCACCTGAAGTTCGATGTGCAACGCCGGTTCCAAATCGTTCCATTCTATCAGTGAACGTGGCAGCAAAAGTCTGTTAGCCTCAGGAGGTAAGTTACTGGGCTAATAATTCTTTTTTTTTTATTACAAATCCTTCCGAATCGGTACCGTTTTTTCAAGGTCAACCTTTCCTTTACCTGATCAGAGAATGTTTATTTTTAATTTCAGGGAAAATACTAACTCGCAATGGTGGTCAAGATCGGGATTAATGGGTGAGTTAGAACTGAGTGCTCCTTCTTCTTCTTGAGGCAATGTCAGCTTGTTTTCAATGACTTAAATCACCTCCTTGCTTTTTTCTTGCAGATTTGGTCGCATTGGACGACTTGTTATGCGTGCCTCGCTGTCAGAGGGTGCAGTCCAAGTTGTCGCTGTGAACGATCCTTTTATCGACCTCGATTACATGGTAAGTCAGGCCATCTGCAATAGAACTCCAATATCATTGCAGCAATCTAACATGTTATGTGACGTAATCAAAATTTTTTTCTTCTTTTTAATGTCATACAGATTCCGTCATTGCTTTAGTCTTATCAGCTCTCTGTTGCATCTTTGGTTCGCAAGATGATCTTAAAGCAGCTCGTTTAGTTCGAGAGAACTTCAGTTGAACTTACAATGAAATAAGCAAGTCTGTTTTAAAAATTTATGCAGATCTTATGGTTAAATTTCTATAGTTGCGGCGTTTAGTTGAGATCGGCCTGCTCACAAGAAAGATATTCTGAAACCTTAACCTTTTAATCTTCGTAGAAGTCGTCATTTTTCTTCTTCCTAGTTTGGTCTGCAATGTAATTCAATTTCGTCTGTCGCGCGATCGCCAGATGAGATTTGCTCATGGACAGTTTTGATCAGCCTTTTGGACAAAACGACAAACTTTGATATTGTTTGTTTGTTATACAGAATGATAGAACTGAATGCCTTTACATATTAGTCGTTCATTTTCACGCGAAACAATGTCAATGTGGTGAAAGTGACATCTGCATCAATTTTTGCGATCTTATATTGTGAAGTCATTTATTTTGTTGTTATATTTCTTTTAGGAACTAAATTGTTTGAGAAATCAAGCTTGTGATATTGATTCACGGAGCTTAGTTGCAAATTTCGGGAAATCTTTTTTTTGCAAGCGTCAAAAGTACTCTGGTGTTGCTGTGCTTTTGTGCTCCTTTGACTTCTTATTGGTCCAAGAATCTGGCACTACTTTCTCAGCCAATCAAATTCAAATGTAAAACCAATCACCATTTGGTTTTGTAATCACAGCTCAGAGAGTATTTTTGTCTACAATTTGTAAAGACTAGTTTTCTCTGGGAAACTAGTGCCCTGATTGGCTTTTTTAATTCTTTGGTTGTAACTTAAGGACATTAGGACTTTAGGACACTTGGTCAAAATTCACCCTATCACAGAATTTTTGTTCAGATGTGAAAAAAAGAAAGGTGCACTTCATTGGTTTGCTTTTTTTTTGTCTATCAACGAAAGCACTATTCTCAAAATTATTTTAAAAGAAAGTGCTGGTGTAGATGAATATAGGGTAAGTTTCTAAAGAAACTTTGGTGCTGTGTCAGTGGGAGAGTATAACAGGGTAATGTAGGGTTATCAACTGAGTTAAAAAGGTAAATTGGTCACCATAAAAAGTTATAGGCTTAAATTTTGAGCATTAGCCCTTTGTTAGAGCGATAGACAAAGGGCTAACATGCGAAATGTTAGCCTTTAAACTCTTTACCATGTCTAATTTATGTTTTCAACTCAGTTGATAAAACTGAATTGCTCGTATAGATGGTTTACTATTTGGCTTGCGATTTTTTTTATCATTAAGGTTTACATGTTCAAGTTTGACTCAACCCATGGTAGATTTAAGGGAACAGTAGAGGCCAAGGATGGTAAACTGATAATCAATGGAAATCCAATCTCTGTGTTTGCCAAGAGAAATCCAGATGAAATCCCATGGGGTGATAATGGTGCTGAATATGTGGTTGAGTCAACTGGTGTTTTCACCACTGTAGATAAGGCTAGTGCACACCTTAAGGGTGGTGCCAAGAGGGTAATCATCTCCGCACCCTCAGCCGATGCCCCTATGTTTGTGATGGGAGTAAATGAAGACAAGTATAACCCAAGCATGACTGTCATCAGGTATGTAGTAGTGCAATGTGGGGATAATTAGTTGATCCAATTCTAAATTCTCTGAACTAACATTATAAGAATTGTACAGTTGACAGTAGGGAGAATTACAAATTTGATCTCAGAGTTAAAGGATTAAGCATAGCTGTAAACAACTGGAAAGTAGATATACCCAGGTTAATTTTTAAAAAAATGGGTGAAACAACACTAAATAAAGTATTTAGGTACAACATCAGACCGACTCTCTTCCAATTCTCTTCACTTGTGTGCTGGATAATGTATTGATATTGTAAGGAGAAATTCAGTCTTGGTCACTTGTGGGAGTTTAAATGTGAATTTCTCTTCTTTCATTGTATTTGGCAATTTGCCTCTTGTGAGTTTGTCTTTCTCAATCAGTAAGCTGCAAATTTAGCCTCCGGGATTAATTATTTTCTTTGCTTGTATTTCCATCCCACAGTAATGCATCTTGCACCACCAACTGCCTTGCCCCTGTGGCTAAAGTGTTGAATGACAAATTTGGAATAGAAGAAGGACTTATGACAACTATCCATGCTGTTACTGCCACACAGAAGACTGTGGATGGTCCAAGTGGCAAGGTAATGCCATCTCTTCTAATTCGGGGTTGTGACAATGGGGTGTTTTGAGTTCAACCTGCTGAGAAGCACCTAGCATACAAGTAGGGCCCTAATCAGTAATGCTGCAGGATGCATGCTTCTCTCCCTGCTGAAAGATTCAAGGGAGAGGTTTGCAGGGGGTCTGGCCCTTGTAAACAGTGCTACACCTCTTTCAGGTTAGAGCATTCCTCAAATACTTGATTGTGGGTGAAAAGACACTTGTGCCGCAGCACTTGTAACAAGGGTGTACTCACACGCCTAAGAAATGCAATCAAGAACAAGAACATAATATGGTTTGGAATATTCTAAAGAAAACATTTAAAATAGAAAACATTTTACACTCTTTGCTGTGATTAAATAATTGGGGCATCTAAGTCACCAGTTTAGTGACCTAAGTTTGGCGTATGTGCTGCATCGGTGTGTATATTCTCCCTACCATTCCCCATGCATTTCCAGTGTTGCATATAAGGAGGATTGGACTAACAATCAAGAGTTTCTTGAGTTTGTGATCAGTACTTTTATTGTCAAGACCATGTTTGATTCAAGGGTGATCCAGTTGGGCAAAATGAGATGCTTATTACTGTAAGGTGTTAACAGTTTATTCTTATGCCTTTTCAGAAATGGCGTGATGGTCGCGGAGCGTATCAGAATGTGATACCAGCCTCCACTGGAGCAGCCAAGGCTGTTGGAAAAGTCATACCTGAACTTAATGGCAAGTTGACTGGCATGGCATTCCGTGTACCTGTTCCTGATGTGTCTGTGGTGGACCTCACATGCCGCTTGAAGACACCAGTAAGTGGATTCAATGAATTGTTTGTTAGTGTTAGTTTTTGTTATTTTCATTGCGAGATTCTGTTAACTTGCTTTGGAAGCTCATAAAATCTAAAATTAATGTGTGTGGAAGTTTGTTTTAACAGTACCTTATTTTCCCACTTACTTTATCTTGCAAAAATGCCAGTGTTTTTAAAATTTTGCCAGAGCAAGAAAAGATAGGGCATGTATTCAAGAAAATACTATAATCTGCTGCGTATAAGAGCACCACCCCTCCCCCCCATATGGTTACACGTGTAGACACATCTACAAGTAAAAAATACATCCAATTGTAACCTCTCCCTCCCCTCTCTAGCTTTTCTTGGTTTTAAAGATAAGAACTCTGCTGTGAATTGGACTGAAAATTTTTAGTGGTATGAGAGTAAACATAAACCTCAGAGGAAAAATCTAAACTTCCATTTTGTGATCATGCTGTTAATCTTAATCTTGTTCCAAATGTATTGATTGTATTGTATTAAAATGACTTAACCCTTTAAATGCCATAAGTGACCAGCATGTACAGAACTGCTGAATCAATTATTAGATCATGACAGTAAAGGAAGTGATTGCTAGGCTAAAAAGCTTTGATCGTTAAGTGAACTCTCCTTGTCAGTGGCATAGGTAATGGTTAGAGAAATGTATAGAGAAACTGGATACTGATGTTTGGGTGTAAAGTTTTGATTGAAATCCTGTAAGTGCAAAACAAATTTTTAAGCCCCTCTTTTTATTAGCCCTCTTAACCTTTTAACTCCCATGAGTGACCAAGACAGAATTTCTCCTTACAATATCTATACAATATCAACCAGATAGGTGATGAGAATGGAGAAGAATATCAATTTGGGAATAATTAGTTGATCCAACACTAAATTCTCTGAACTAACATTATATGAATTGTATGGTTGACAGTAAGGAGAATTACAAATTTGATCTGGGAGTTAAAGGGTTAAAAACCCATGAAAAAGTTGTTGAAGCCAAGGCTTTTAAGAAGCAGTTTACGGTATTGTAATTTTCCATCCACCTCCACCTGGGAAAGACCCATTCACCCTATGAGCTTCATTTGTTTTTAGACTGATTATGATAAAATCAAAGCTGCCATGAAGGAAGTTTCTGAGGATAAGGTCATGTCAAGATACCTCGGATACACTGAGGAGGAGGTTGTCTCCAGTGACTTTATTGGAGACACTCACTCAAGCATTTTTGATGCCAAAGCTGGAATTCAACTGAGTCCAACATTTGTGAAAATTGTTGCCTGGTAAGATGTGGATTTTTTTTTTGCTTTTTAACCTCTCAGTGGTTGAATGAAGTGTTTGCCAAAAGTTTGCCAATGCTGTCATCTTCCCAAAAATTTGCTAAACAGCTTTTAACATACACGGTCTAAATTGAGACCTTCAAATACCCTGTTCCATAGTACTACTATTTCTTATTGTTAAATTTCAAGTTAAAAAATAATTCCCGGTGTGGGTTTCAAAATTGCATCTCATGGTTAGTTACACTAATGGGTGCTAGGCCATCTAGTGACTTTCCTCATCCAGCACTGAATTTCCATATTCTAGACGATCTTAGTTGATTAATTGAGCATTGTGTAGTCTGTACTGGAGCCTATTAACTCACCCGGCAGGAGATTATTCCAGTCTTCATGTACCATGAAGTGACTATGAGTACCACTACTTCCCCATAAATGGGATGTTAGTGCATGAATGATTTTCAGGCTACAAGCACTAGGATTAGGTTTGCTTGTTGTGGTTCACATATCCTTGAAGAGTTCACTAATGTTTGGGCGTGAATTCTGGAGGGAATGACGATAACCTTGGAGCTTGAGGGACACTTGCAAGTGTCGTGGAAGTCTCTGTATTCCTACTATCTGACCCTCTTATACATTGACCAGCATTCTACAGCATTAACTACTAAGGTGTCAGTTCTTTCATAACAGAAGTTCTCTATTATTATTACTATTATTATTATTATTATTATTATTATTATTATTATTATTATTATTATTATTATTATTATTATTTATTTGTTCAATTTTTTAATGTTTTTGTTTTTTGTTTTTTGGGCCCTCTCCCTGTGAAAGTCATCGTTACTTTTTCAGTGCTAATAGCCAAACAGCCAATCGAGGGATGTTTAAATACAGGGAGAAAAGAATTTTCAAAGAAAAAAGATTTCTGAAACTAGGCACTCTGCAAACAACCCTATGCTTTAATGACCAAGTAAAACTGAATTATGCCCAAATAATTATGTTTTACGAGCTAGTAAGATGGAGATTACGAGCAGTCCATTCTTTTCGACGAAGTCCGTCGCGCGAGTTTTACATAAAGCAAACAAACAAAAAAAACCCAGTGAAAACTGCCGTTAGTGTGCCGCGCTTAACTCTGGGAGTGAGGCTAATTGTGGTGCACCTCACTCCCAAAGTTCCGCCCGGCGCGCTAGCAACAATTTTCAGTCTCAATTTTTCAATTTTCTTTCTTTTTCTGTTCGCGCGACAGATTTCGCTAAAATTTCTAATTCTCTTGTGTATCAGGTATGACAACGAATACGGCTACAGTCACAGAGTTGTGGACTTGATCAAATACATTGCTAGCAAGGAGTGATGGAACACTGCTGGAAGACCGGCAGCCTTGTTATCACTAGCTGCTATGATGGAGGAACTTAAGGAAAAAGGCATTTGAATTTAGTGTTAGCACCAGGCAAATCTGTATCTCTAGAAGGCATGAACTGATTTCAGTGTAGTAGAATCGTGATTTCTTAGCTGTTGTTTGTTCAGAAGCCTCGAGGGATCTTAAACGTGTGTGTTTGAAAAACTGGATAATGTATGGTGTGTGTTGTAATTGTAAGATTGTCTGCGCTAGGTGCTCAGCTACAAAGCTGTATTAAATTTAATATTGATCCTGGTCAGAGAATGATTTTTCTCAACGGTTTGCTCGGTAAAATAAGCTATTACTGTCGAACCTCGATTATCCAGATTTTCGTTTATCTGAACTCGCTCCTCTGGTCCTTTTTTTCACGAATATTTATTAGTCGCATTCGAAATACATAAGAACATTTTCCCCATCAAACTAAGCAGATGTCCTGATATAATTTATACGCTCTTCCAATAATGCAGCTTCAAAGAAAGGTTGAATTAGCGACGCGCATACGCATCAATATTTTAGGTCGTAAAACATTGTCGTAAAACGTTTTTATAGAAATGAACCAGATATTATTGGCTAATAGTTATCTCCTGGAGAACAGAACCTTTGTCAACCATTTAGTGAAAGACTCAAAAAAGACAAATCGCCACATCGATTGATGACTGGTTAAGGCGCCAGCAACCAGTTTGTTAGTTTTCAAAACACTGAATAAATATTTTTCTCCACGTAAGACCCCTTTCTCCCCCTCCACTCAAGAAAAATGAGTTAGTGTACTCGTCTATCAATTTTTGCAAATAATACATATGGAGTTGAGCTGTGGAGCTGAAAATATCTAGCCAAAAGAGACTTTTTTTTTGTTGAAACAGTGCAATTTCTAAGTACGGATTGTGCATGCATGCGCCTCCCTTGCCAATATTGAAGTATTCTTCATCGGTGAGCAAGACAGGAGGGAACGAACGTGCGCAGTTGTGAATCTCTTCGCGGGACATCGATTGAGGTTTGCAAACTGAGTATTTTTTTACCGCTAATGAATCTTGTTGGTCCAAAAAAGATCAAAACTGGTTTTATATGAGACGGAGAGTTCAACTTTTGGTCAGTCTCTCTTTTCTCGTCCTTTTCTTCAGGATGGCGGGTTCGTTGACCCTAAAACTGATCGGGAGATCCCTCGGAACGAGTTTTTAAAGGTCTCTCATACAAGCGCCACTTATTACGCTTAGATGGTATGCGTAATCCCGACGGATTGTGCCGCTGCACAAACATCGACCCCCAGAGTGCGCGTGTAACAGCTCAGGAACTGCGCCCGCCGTCCTGTGAACAGATGCAATCAACTTCGTCATTAAAGCTTGTATTCATCTGACCGCCCTTAAATCATTTAATTTAAAAGGAGACATTTATGAAAGACAGGAATAATTATTATCGTACTTGAAGAGGAACATTAATTGAATTTTTTTCTATTTGAAGGCTCTCCATCTCTAACACAAATTTGAAAAGTGCTAATTACGGTTAATAACTTTCTTTTGCAGTGAAAGCCATATATTTTGTTGCTGAAATACTAAACCCAAACGTCGGTTGCGTTGACAGAGCCTTTTGGTTGTAATTTTCAGTCAAATTCCTCGGAATAGTCGAGTAAGTAAAGTTCGATTTATAGGGAATTTATGCGCTATGCTCTCGCTCCCGTAGAAAAAAAAATTTTTTTGAATTTTGTCAATGTCGTTTTTGGGACGAACCTGAGGGTGTCAGGTGAAACTGAATAAGGTGACAAGCGACTCTTTAGACCTGAATACATTACTAAAACGTGCGAGAAATTCTGTTTTGACGGTAGAAAAACAGAATTTCTCGCACGTTTTAATAGAAAAGGCCTTTTACCCGAATAATTACTTTCATTTTAAAATGCAGTTTTTTTTATCACAATATTAATTATATTTTTTCATGTTTTGAAGATTGTAATTATGGTCCAATTTTGGCCTATTTATGACCCACAGGTCACATAGCGGACTTTGAAATCTACTTTCATTTGCGCATTTCAATTAAGCGTTTCGAGCTCGTTAGGAAATGACCTACCATTGTGTTGTAAGAAATTTCTTAGACATTTGGCTTTTATCAGCACATATGAAGAGAAATTTCACCTTGGAGCGGCTGAAAAAACACAACTGACAAATTATGACCTATTGATTGAGGTAATAAACTTGATTTTAATTTATTTGTAACCCTGAAGGCAATATAGCAGCAATTAGTAGCCGTACTCCTTACAGATGACGATTTCATGAGATCTCGTTTTTTTTCATCGTGCAGGGATGTGCCTTTTTATCTAGATAAGCTCAGTTTATCTGTGAAATCGAGATCGAACCTGGATTGTGTTGATTCTTTGATGAGTTTGTGCCTCGTGTAGAATTCACAATTTACTGCCAAACTAGCGGACCAGGAGTAAATATTTCTGACGATTACGAAACTGCAAGTGGTGCTAAACTCAAAAGTCAAGTCAAGGTTAGGAACCGTGCATACGATACATTTTCATTTTTTCCAGGATTAATTAATTAGTAAAATGAAAAGAGGAAGGCGTATTTTTAAACGGAAAGTGTTTAAATTTCCTCGCCAGAGAACTTAAATTGGTAATTTTACTTGATTAAAAGTAAAGGCTATGTTGGAAACTTAATGAGAGTCTTCGATAGGAAATTAAGGGAGAAGGATTAGTTAATTTTCTTCAAATTGTCGAACCAGTTAAAAGTCTGAAATTGTCAATACGATTTTTCCAGCTGATTACTGTTACAAAATCCGCGGTCTTCAGAAATTAAACCCACATCTTTGCTTGATTCTTTAACGTTTTAAAACAGTGTTTACAAATTTTCTTTTCTTTTTTTTCCCAAACTGAAATATCGTTTTACTTCCGATGCGTTTAATACCGCGATTATTTCCTGAAGAGCTGATTATTTCCTGGGCTGAAGTTTCGAATATCCTGATGTAGAGATTTGACTCATGAATAAATTATTGTCAAAGTTTGTCAGCTACAACCAGATTGTAACCTTGGAGTGAAGCATCTGTAATATCAATCGGAGTTTAATCGAGGTCATTTCTTACGAATGGCATCGCTGTTAGAACTGCCATGGAATCAGATGTCTCTTGAAAGTGAACTTTTTTTGGGAGGATTGGTGAAAAAACAAATAAATTCCCTGTAAATTCAATATCGCCACCTGTTTACTAACGCGTAATACAATAGTAAGATGCAATAAAGAGTTTTCTATGCAGACCCATCAATTATGGTTTGCGGAAAGAGGTTCAGAAGATGTTTGCAATCAAAGTCTTAACTGTTTGGTTCGGTTTTGTTCCTTTTGGTAACTTACTGTAATTTGTAGCTATAAATTTTTTTCTTTTTCGTTTTGACATTTAGTCTTAATAACAATCTTTGATCAAGCAACGACAATGTTTGCGCATATGTGTTTATGACAGTGGTGACACGGTTATGTCAAGTTACCGACACCATAAATTTAGTGTACGCCGATTCATCGAGAATTGCTTGGAAATTTTGAAAAAAAAATTACAATGAAAATAATTATCGGAAATTCATCAACATTAAACTTAATCATAATGAAAACCTGAAAAAAAGATACCTACATCTGCAGGGTATTTGAGACGAGAAAGTGAACAACATTTAATAGTTTCCTTGTTTCTTTTCTCTTTTTTTTTTTTTGATTTCTTTTCTTAAGATATCTCCTGATGTAAACATCGGAGCATCGCTCATAAGCTTTGTTTGCAAAATCGCGTAAGGACACCGACTAATATGTTTTCGAAGGCTAATGATGTAGATAAAGAGGGCAAGAATTTTTCTTGTTGGAACTGGATATCGAGGGTTCTTTACACAATCAGATATGCAATATATCTTGTTCAAACCAATTCTTAATTAACTTTCAGGTACGTGAGAAGGATGCATGCATTTCTTTGGCATCGTTCGACCACAGCTTTGTTTGTGGCATTCTACGCAACGGTCCTTTTTCACAATGAAGCCAAAAGCGCTCAAAGCAGCGTCTCAGGTAATCCAGTCTATATAATAAAAACTTATTTTTTTAACAATCTTTCTTTGTGGTTGTAACAGGTGAATAACATTTTGCAAAGCAGATCCTTTGAAGATACCTTCTCATAGTTGAGCCTCTGGTGAGGTCAGAGTTTTTTCGAAAGTTCAATGTCGTCAAAGTTTTGATTTTTACAGTTTGCTTCTTAAATAATCACGAATCCCTTTCTATCATTTTATATTTCCAATTTAAATTCGAAAAAATGCAAATTTTTAATTAATATTTAAGTTTTCATATCTGGCAGGCAGTGGGCCTGTACCTCCATTTCTTCCAGCTAATGGCCCCCGACCTTCACTTCCTTTACCTTTGGCTGGCGGAAATCCTCCGTACCCATCATCTTCTCCAGAAGGTGAGTCATATTCTCCTCTAACATCTTCAGCTAGCGGTGGGTCTCCATCTCAATCATTGTTTCCAGCCGGTGCCCATTTACCTTCGTCTTCATCATCGCCGTCTGACAGGAATCCTCCTAACCCTTTATCTCTTCCATCCGATGGCCACCCAACTACGAGTCCTTCGCCTTCATCTGGTGGGGATCCTCTACAACCACCATTACCTTCTCCAGATGCGCAGCCACTGGCTGGCGATGGACCTCCATCTCTTCCAGCTGATGGCCACCCAACTTTACCTCCTTCATCTTTGTCTGGCGGGAATCTTCCGCTACCACCATTACCTTCTCCAGGTGGGCAGCCAATGGGTTGTGGTGGACCTCCATCTCTTCCAGCCTATGGCCATCCACCTTTACCACCTTTACCTCCTTCACCTTCATCTGGCGGAAATCTTCCGTTACCACCATTACCACCATTACCCTCTCCAGATGGGCAGCCACTGGCTGGCGGTGGACCTCCATCTCTTCCAGCTGATGGCCATATACCTTTACCACCTTTACCTTCGTCTGGCGGGAATGTTCCGTTGCCACCATTACCTTCTCCAGATAGGCAGTCATCAGCTGGCGGTGGGCCTGTGTCTCCATCATCTCTTCCAGCCGATGGCCATCCTCCTTCACCTTCATCTGGTGGGAATCCTCCGTTACTACCATTACCTCCTCCAGATGGGGAGCCTTTAGCTGGCGGTGGGCCTCCATATCCATGTCCTCCAGGCAATAGCCATCCACCTTCACCTCCTTCCTTGTCGCCAATACAACTTCCGACGTCACAGCCACAACTACCATTACAACAATCACCGTCATCGTCCTTACCGTTGACTAAATCTCCAACCTCATCTCCTGAGAGCGGGGATCTTACCGGTTCTACCAACCCCACAACAGCTGCTTCTCCCACTGGACCTGCTCCTGACTACTTCATCATTAATTCTTTACGCCGCAGGTGCAGTCCAGATGAAATCCCAACCGATGGTAAGGCAAAAATTCAAGTTGCAGTAATGAAAAAGTATAGTCTCTTGTGCATTCCTCAAATACGTGTGATATTCAGGAAGAACTCTTGGACAATCTGGGATACCGTGACAGTAATCTATAGCCATGCATTTGGCCTGCGGTTTTTATTAATTCCGTCAAATTGTGAAAATATATTAGCACAATCGTTTTAAAATATTGATTATTATGTTACATCTTTAGCTTCCGTTAATGCCCAATGGAATGAAAATATATGGCGTTTTTTACATCGCTGCTTCCGGAACAATGAATATAAGAAATTCACCTGCAAAAATCGCTGTGGCATCGATGAGAGATTGGACAATGTTACCGTATGGAATAGATTTATACCCCTATGCTACTGTGACAAGCTTTGCGATGGCTTTGGTGACTGCTGTTTTGACTTCGATGCAATGTAAGCTTTCCTCCTCTTTACTGCTCGTTGTCTTTTGTGTGTGTTGCATATTCCTAGGTTGCGGTACCAAAAAAAAAAGGTGAGTGACAATGGTTGCTTCAAGGTGTGCGCTGTCCACGGTAGTAAGTAAATAATAAGTATATTCGTCCTACTAACGGAATCATTTTCAATGAGCGCAAGTGAGCGTTTAAATAAGCGTGTACGTTGTAAAACCGTAATCCCTACACTAACGTTTAACGTACCGGGCAAGTAAAACTTAGTATACATTACAGTTGTAAACTCCGCGCACATCTGATTTATCTAACGATTTAATTAATCCACCATATTGACATAAAAATATCGACTGGATTTAGCCATAGACGACTCCCTGCAACACGAATTGCATGAATAAAGAACTTTTAGATAGACCTAACTTGAATACTTGCACTATCTGCAAAAGTCAGTAAGATTTAAAATCAAACCTATCCACGACTTGCTCGCTTATGTTTTCCTCGCCACAGACAGTTTCTTGCTTTTTTTTTCGGTCTCGATATCATGACCATCAATCGAGAGGTGCCATGCAAGCAATTTGTGATGACTTTTCAGAATGCTCTTAGAGGTCTTAGTTCTCTTATTTATGTTACGGTTTCCCTAATAGTTGTCGTGAGCGAGTCAATCCTGAGAGAAGCACTCTAAGTACCACTGAAACCTGCTTCGCTTTAAGAAATAACCCAATTAGACCAATTTACAACGGTTACGCTGTCTGGAGAATGTGTCCTAAAGAATGGAAAGAAAACGAAACGCGAAAAAAGTGTGAGGACGAAGACCGAAGTGACCTTCCCATAAGTTTGCCGGTTTTTGACGGAGACAGTCTGAAAACGTTTAAAAATATATTTTGTGCAAGATGCAATGGAGCTGTCAACACGACGTACTGGAGACTTCATTTTGTCTGCTATTCATGGTTTAACTTTACCGCATCTAATTTTTCCACCAATATGGACATTTTGCTGAACAACTGTTCGCTAGAGATATCGCCGCAAGATTTCCAGCTTAACTCATTGAAACGATGCATTCCTCGTTTTCAAGATTGTAAAGTGATGAGTCAAAAAGTAAACGAATCTTACTGCCAAATGGAATGCCTGCGGTACGCCTTCCCAGTGTGTGAAAAAAAAACACGTTTTCGAAACCCACAATGCGCATTATGTAATGGCTTCAAACCTGTTGATCTCGGACATAACTGTGTATCTGGAAGTGGTCCGGTATCTCCGCCATTGACTATCTTGTTTGATTTTACTTCCACGTCGAGATGCAATATTCGGGTAGACGAGAGAAAAGAAGGCGTGTCTCAACGGGTTGAACGTACCATAGTTTGTTCTGATGATGAACTGTACGATCCCTACGCTGCAAGTTGCAAAAAAGTTGTCTCCCTTGAAGATTATAGCGACCCTCGGCAGGATAAGCAAAATGGCTCAGACTTCTGGAATCCAAACTGTACTATTGTGGCGTTTAACAAAACAGATTTCAAGCAACTTCTCAACGGATCTATCTATTTGAAGAAACACCGGAAAACCTACGTCGATAACACGTACAGATTTATGGACGATAAATTGCTGTTATGCGTCAATTTCTCAAGGAATTTTACAAGATCAGATAACACTCGTCGTTATCAACGGAACGAGATCACCAGAGCTACGCCTGCATCTTTACAGTTGTTTACTTTTATTGGATCCATAATATCGATGGTTTCTCTGATTCTTCTGCTTTTGACATACATAATGTTTACCGAGCTCCGCAACCTACCGGGGAAAATATTAATAAACTTAGCCATCTCTCTGCTGCTGTATCAGAGTTTTTTCTTTGTAGGAGGAGAGACCGACGATCATGACACATGTCTATCAGTTGCAGTTCTTCTCCATTTCTTCGTCCTCTCTTCCTTTACTTGGATGAACGTAATGGCTTACGATGTGCATCGGATTTTTGCTCCGTTTAGTAAGTCCAGTTTCATGATTTATATGTAAATGTATAGCGAGTGCGTGCCGGTATGCAAGCATGTACTTGAGAGCGCATTTTTGAACGACCAGCCTACAAAGGGAACCTTAATTGATTAGTGTTCCATGTACCTGACGAGAGAGGACCAGTAGGCCCTTTCGAAACAGTTCTGTAGTGTAATGTTGTAATTTCTCCTTTTCTACTTAATCGACCATTATTTAGCTTCACGAGTGTAAAGCACTCTGAGACTCAAAGATAAGGTTTCTGCGTATATATATATGCGGGTTGGTACGGGTCCTGGAAAAGCTGGAAAGACTTGGAATTTTGTTTTGACATTTTCCGGGACTGGAATTTCCTGGAAAAAGACTGCAGGTCTTGGTAAGCCTTGGAAATCAGCTTAACTCAAGCAATGAAGTTTTCAGAATTTATATAGACCATAAGGAGAATGGATTTTGAAATCTTGGGAATGAAAGGTTTATAGTGAATTTAGAGTCCTAGAAAAATCAATCTAAGTCCTCCAAAATTTCTTGAAATTTGTTTCTGAAAAAAAGTACGAACCCTGTAAATATTTGTCGCTTGCATTACGGAGACGTGGTAGACTTGAAGAAGAGAGGTGCTCGGGCAAGACGCACAACTCCCGCAATGCCTTTCTCCAAACAGGAGTATAAATCGTTACTGGTCAACTGTCAGGAAAGCCTGACGAAATTTCAGGTTGGGATGGGGTTGACAGTGTAGGTATCTTGCGATGGTTTATAATCCCATTGAGTAACCCTTGCATCACTTGAGGGCAGAGAAACTTGGAAAACCCCGAAAGAGGCAATCTTATGAACTGACTTAACCCAGCCCCAAGTCTTCGAGGTGTTTGAACGGCAGGTTTATGACCAATTGCAGCCAGAGAAAGAGAGAGAGAGAGAGAGAGAGAGAGAGAGAGAGAGAGAGAGAGAGAGAGAGACCTTTGACAGAACAATTTCCCGTTCAGCCCCCTACCGATTCATTAAGTTCATACTATAACCTAAGTTGGTCATGACGCGCCTTATCATTATTTTAAAAGACGGATCGGGAGTTGCAGCGAATCTGCGTGATGACGACAAGAAACGTCTCGCTGCCTACAGCGCGTACGCCTGGGGAGCTCCTACTGCGATCGTTGTCGCATGTGTCGTAATTGATCATACAGAAAAAGGAGCAATCGGATATGGTGAGTTCTTTGCATTGCTAATTTATTGAAGCTGTCCGGAAATAAACCGTCATTAGAGTTTTCACTGACTCTTTGGCCCGTTTTAATTTATCGCCTGGAGCAAGGTGGGGTGGGAGGATTTTTGTTCTGTCACGAAAAAGAAATCACTGATCTCCTTAGAAGTCCTCTGAATATTCTATTCTATTCCCTCATTGGTATTTAATTGGCAGTCAATTTTCTTGAGTCCTTCTTTTATACTCTATTAGCGAAACTATCCCCCCCCCCGTTCCCCCTCCCCTGGTCCCCTGGGGTATACATTTCCATCCTCATTTAATAATTATTTTCCCTTTTTCAATGAGAAGCTTTTAGCATTCTGAATTTGTGGATTTTTTTTTGTATTTGCCATAGGACAAGGTGCAGAGGAATGTTTCATATCTCACCCGCGGGCCAAACTTTATTCATTTGTTCTGCCTGTTGCACTAGTCCTGGTCTTTAATCTGTTGGCGCTCGGGCACACTGTGAGTCACATCCTCAAAACACGAAAGGTATATGTAAATTTGTTCAACATTTTTACCTTGATCCTTTAGTGGAAAAACATGAGTGGATCGCCCCGTTGTTTTACAAGGAAATTTCAGATGGAATACTTAATCTAACCATTTTATAGAAGGAGGAAGTTTCTAAAAAAATGTAGAGCTGCGTCAGTGGGAGAGTATAGCAGGGTAATTCAGTATTATCAATTGAGTTGATAGCGTAAATTTACCACCGTAAATAGTTTCAAAGTTGACGTTTGGAGCGTTAACCCTTCGTCAGAGCGAATCACTATCGCTTTGACGAAGGGCTAACGCTCTTGGAAATTTTCTCCTCCGTGAAATATTTATTTGTACTCTCTTGCAGGAAACTCAGCAAATCACCCATCAACGACAAAGCAGCAGTGTGGCTGTAATTTGCTTCAAAATGGTGTCAGTTATGGGCTTGACATGGATTCTGGGAATTGCTGCGAACGTGAAGGCTTTATCATTCTTATGGTACCCGTATGCGATTTTAAACAGTCTTCAAGGCATGTTTTGTTTTACTTCTTATCAAATTAATAAGAGATAATAATATTCTTGACCTGTGGAAGGTAAAATATATTGCCGGGGGAATTGATTCACGCAGAAAAGGTTTAGAGAACGAAAACTTACAAATAAATTTATAATATATAACAATATATCATTAACGGTGCATAGCTTTGCCGGCGAAAAACGGAAACGGCGACGCTGTTTCTTAAAAGTCGACGTAAACATTGATTCCTAGGATCAAATTTATACAGAAAGCCTGACAAATTACTCGACATAATTACGTAATATTACGCAACGGTACAAACATCAAGCACAGGTACACAATACAACTAACGACACGTACAAACACTCACAGGTTATTAACACGTAAACGCTATACACACAGGAAACGGTATGACGATAAGTTTCGCGATTAGAATAACCATAAATTCCCCGACTTTTACTCCATTTCTTCCTAGGGCTGTTCATTTTTCTGGCATTCGCTGTGAGTGGAAGAGCTTTGGAGCTGTACAAAAGTAAACTGCCGGGCAGAATGACAAAGAAATCGCCAGTATTGAAGCGAAACCAGATGGCTTCTAATTGTACTCTGCAATCCACTTGCAATGTAGCTTGTGATTATCAAGATAATCGAGATACTTACCTCTAGAAAAAGTTAACAAACTTATTAACAAACGTATTACGGCTTTAAGTGTTGAGCGTGTTTAATCAGACGTATGTAACTTAATATGACAAGCAGAATGAGAATATGCTTCACTGAAGGCGAGTGAAGTTCTAATTTGTATTTAGCATTTGACAATAATAACAATAATGTTAATAATAACGATAATGATGATGATTATCGTAGTAAACTCCTACAAAATCTCAGCGCACTTTACATATGAAAGAAACAATACAAAGATATATAACTTACTAAATAATCCAGAAAAACTGAATCATAACATATTCAAGTTTGTAAAACATACATCGTAACTCGTAAACGAGCAATTGGGAATCCTTCTGCGATAGAAGGCCATATTGCTAACATCTTGATTTCGCGAACGGGACTTTGAGCGCGATGTTTGACGAGTTCGCTTGAAATTTAATTTAATGTATCTGACGCGTATCTTGGCTGCGACGAAACACAGCGTCATACTGGCCATGAAATCTTTTCTTAGTATTTGACCATTTTTCATAAGATATATTCTACTTAGTGACATAGGAAATAAATTACATGCAATCATGATACAATTGATATTGCTAGTATTTACAAATCCTTTTGTACAAGATAACTTGAACACACACATAATAATAATGTAATCATGTAATAATAAATAATACTAATAATAAAGAATAACATGGAGTGCAGTAAATAATGCTAAGTTGAATTAGAATTCTGAATTATATCATGTTTGTCTTTTTCAATGGTCTACATTGACCTCACATTTTTACACAAAATAAGTTGAATTATCATCCTTACTCCCACATTCATTCTGCCGACAATCAATCGTGATTTAGTGAAAAAGGACGTTATATGAATTTTTATGGCTGTGTACCCCGAATCGTGATTGGTAGAGTTACAACCTTTGGTTTGTGGCGTCGTCCCACGTCGCCGTCCGGTAATCAGTCGTTTCGCTAGCGAACAGTTCGTCAACGTCTCAGGGTATTTCACCAACTGATAGGCCCTTTCGCTAAAGTACAGTCATATGGGACGAGTATAAAAGCGATCTTCGCAGTAATAAACATCACTTAGGCAGCAGTGAAAATAAAGCCCGTAAAAGTTCAGGCCTGTACGGGATTTGAACCCATGACCTCTGCGACATCGCTGCAGTGCTCTACCAACTGAGCTAAAAAGCTAACAAGCTTTAACATTCATTTCTTAAACCGCAGTTCACATATATGATTTTCATATATTCACGGTCATTGACTCGTCGCTTCACGGGCTTATTACGAACCAACATTATGACCAGCTCCTGGTTGGCTTGTTAGCTCAGTTTGTAGAGCACTGCACCGGTATCGCAGAGGCTATGAGTTCAAATACCGTACAGGCCTGAATTTTTCAGACTTTATTTTCCCTATTCCTTACTTAAGTAGTGTTTATTTCTTTACCCGCAGTTCACAAATATGATTGTCATATATTAACCCTCATTGAATCATTAGGGAGCTCGGTCATTTCAATAAAAAAAACTGAAAGATGATGGGAGAACTAAGCAAAGGGAAAAAGAAGACTCATAGACAGCTTAGGCTTCACGCACAGCGTACAATCAAAGAATTTCTATCCGACAAACTGGCAGTGCACAGTATAACCCAAATGTTGTACCACATGTTGACGGTACAACAATTTGCTCGTCGCGTCTACGGAGAAGACAAACCAATACGAGACTTTGGTGAAATAACCCACAACGTGAGCAGAACGACCCTTACCTTAGCGAACTGACCTGAGACGAGTGCGAAACGACTTGAGACAAAATGAAGCTGGTCGTTAGCGAAACGACTGGTGGGCGAAATGACTACAATTCTGTCATCCCTCAGGAATTCCACTTAACGACAGTACATTGCTCAGTTTATTCCATAGCACTCCAATTTTCCCAAAGTGTGATATCCTTCTTCAGGTCGGAAATCTCCATTGCTGATATAATAGCTTCCCGTATCACCAAACCTCAACTGAATGACGGGAAGGTGGGATTTGTTTGTCAGAAGACCGCTGTCCACTCGCCATATCTGTGAATTCTCATCACAGTTACAAACTTTCGACGCTTTGACACACGAGTTGTTCTTTCCACAGGCGCAGCCATCATACCCTGGATTGGCCCCATCAAAGTAGAACATTTCTTCACCGTCACGTGACACCCACCATGCAAATTTAGACGATCTAATTCTAGAGTCCAGACACTCATATTTGATGAACTGTTGGCAATTGGTGGAAAGGTCTGTTAGAACCTTTAACTGAGAAATGCTGGCGGGGTTGTAATCGATACCAAGGGAATATGAACCAGGCGGTTCAAAACCATCCACGTGTGTCCTGTTCTCGCTGTCATGACTGACAACTGTCACTCCAACACCTCCTTTGTCAGTCATGTTGCAGTAAACAGGAAATGGATCATCGCCAAGAACACCGTCTGGATCAATGAAGTAATCAGCACTGACGTCACTGATGTTGGCCTTCACTTTAGCGCAGGTTTCAGGGTACTTGACGTAAACGATGACACTTGTTTGAATAGAGCTCAATGCATTAGACGCATTGCACGTGTAGTTACCTACATGGGTGAAGTTAGCAGGTGAAACTATCAAGTTATTGGAGGAATCAATACCCGCGCCTGAAGGTAATGACGAGGTCCCATTCCACATCCACGCCATCGTTGGTAACAGGTCGCTTGAAGCAGAACACGACAGCGTGAGAGTTTCATGAGCCTTTACAGTTATATTCGATGGGGGTTTGATGGTAAACTTGAGAGTTGAATACACCCGGAGGTTAACTGCAGATGATTTTTTACCCCAAATGTTTGTGGCAGTACACAGGTAGGAACCACTGTCTAATGCAGAGATGTTTATCATAGTCAGACTTCCTCCATCTTCGAAGCTTCTTGAAGAAGGTTGCAGTCCTTGAGCCTTGCTCCACGTAACTGAATGTGGCAACGGATTACCAGTCGCGTTACACGTCATGGAAACATTTCTACCCTCCACAGTTTCGATTTTATCAGGAGCAACTCGTACTGATGGTAGTCCTAGAATCAAAACGGACATATCTTGGAAAAAGTCATATGAAGTCGAACTAAATTGTAGATAGCTGAACTGGCGGCCATTTGAAAATTAATTAATTTAATTTAAATGAAGGTTGTAATTACCTCACAATAACCTATGTACCAGTGCTTTATTTTTATAACTTAGCTTGCCACAGAACAACTCACAGTGTACTGGCTTGCTTATGTTACTAGCTAATTATATTCAACTCCTATTTCTCATCTTACTGGTGACCTCATAGATGGCTGAAAGAAGGACTAAGAAATAAATATTCAGCATAAGTATCTAATTTGGTGGCCTGGGTGACACCGTAATACCCGGCAAAAAGTAAGTGGAGTATAATGTACACTTAATGTATAGTCCGAGGGAAACAGTTGGTTTATTTTTCCACGAGTCCTGATGTTTCCTTCGACTTCGTTTCGGGAAAATCAGGACTCGAGGGAAAACAAAACTAATCCGTTTCCCGAGGGACCATACATTAAGTGCTTTGATATTTATTAAGACTTTCTCTTAGACAATCATATGGCAAAAACATGCTGTTATATTCGGCGCTCGGGCAACAACTGCGCAATTGAATCCCGGTCGAGATACATTTGAATTTGATCAGGGGCGCGTGACCAAGAATCAACCAATCACAGTGCTCGTTTTGTTGATTGGAAGTCTAGGTATAAAGCAATTCAGTTTATTGTATTACGAGTGTTAAACTAAATCAGAAGACAGCGGAACGAATACACAGAACTGAACGACGCCAAGTCCTATTACCTGTTACAAAGGTAACTATACTTGAAAGCATAAAATCAATTTTTCTCACGCGAAAACACTCAACGTAACAACGCATGCATAAGACTTATTCTGGTCAGTTTCACAGGTGTTATCGGTAAACTGTTCTTTTTCATTGTCCAGCAACAGTTTAAGATATACGGTAGGCTCTCCTAAAGTTCTTATTAGTTTGATTCTGAACAATCTCAGTCGAGACTTACGACTCATATAAAACGCAAACTAATAAATAGACAGACAAATCAGTCGATCAACATACCTTCGTTACAGTTTTGTCCCATCAGTCCATTCGTGCATACACAACGATAATCTTCACGAGGAAAGCCAGTTTGACAACTCTGAGCTACTGGGCAAGGATTTTTGAAACAAACGTTCTGCAAAATTGCAAAATAAAGCAAACATTATTTCTGTCAATGCTTTTATCACCCATGCATCCATGCAAGCATCAATGCTGGTAATTTCCATCTACATATCTATGAATCCATTCACGCTCATATCCATTCATCCATGGATGCAACCAAATGGAGTACAGAGGTAATATAGTTACTATTGGACATAGGTTCGAATCTCGTTGATGCCTGAATTTTTTCAGGCTTCTCATCTGAAATGTCTTTAATTACACCCTACCATTACTTGTGGCATGAATACAATCTGTTTGAGCTCGAGTAATAATGATTCACCTTAAATGATTTGTACATAGCCCCTTCTCTGTATCTCATATTGAATGGATGAGCAACATCATCGGAATCACTCAATTCACACAAATATTCCCCATCCGGAAGAGGTTTTATATTGTAGGATATACAGTTATTCTCCATGTAACAATTTACTTCACAGGCACTGGCTGCTTTTATCTCCATGGTCTTAAACACGTGGCCAATTAGAAAGAAGCCTGTTACTGTTGGATTCATCTCCACTTGCCGACAATCATCGTCTGAGGACAAAATAAGATGCGATAACAGATTGTGAATGTCTCGAAGAGCTTGCAATTACAATCAATCGTAACACTCTCATTCGTGTCCAAAGGCAGACACCTTAAGCAGACGAGGGATGTTGAACTTCCTGTAGTAATGAATAAAGGTTATCAAGATGTCTAAATGTTGTGCTTTCATGCGATAAATGAAGAGTGCTGCAGAAAAGAAAGAGTGAAAATCGTAGCTTTACAGATGTAACCCTCCAATGACAATGTAACCCTCCACTGACAAGTCTAAAAAAAATAAGAATTAAACCATTTCCTGCCTTTTAAAAACGTTTCTCATTATTTGCATCCTGTGATCATGATTTCCTGAATCAGCCCCATTCCGTGTTCCGGAGAAAACTTATACATACGAAAGTTTCTGTCAGATAGGGAAACCTTCTCAGTGAATGGGGAAGGGGTTGGAAGCCTTGGAGAAAAGGAGATGGAACAGTTAGAGGAGCGCGGAGTGGAGATGGAGGAAACGTGGGAGAAACACGAAAATACGAACAATCGTGAATTATTAATCTGCAGTGTTTCGCAATAAAGGACGGTGAAAGGAAGTCATGGGTGGGGAAGGTGGGGGAAAAGGGAGCCTGGGCAGTAGGGGATTCTTACCCCTCTCCCATAACTTTTGTATAAATAATTATATGATGGAGCCAAAATGAGTTGAATTCAAAGAAAGGGCCTGGAAATCTGTCATTTTATTTGAAACGGTCAACAACGATTTTTAAAGTCGTTAGAATTAAAAGCGATTATAACTTTACTGTTTCTTTTGTCTTTTGTTTCCGAGTACACATCGTTTTTTTTTTCTTAATTTGGTTCATAAAAATGTTAAAATTCAAAGGTCGGTTTAGAACATTGTTTTAAAGGTAACGCTAAGCAGTCTGAGGAAATTAGCTTATCAACAAAATGGAAATAGGAATAATTCGGGATGAGTCGGTCGTTCTGTCAAAAATTCAATCTTGCGTGGGTTTTAAGCCACTTAACTCACCTTGCTGGAATGCAGCACAGATGCACACCAGAATTGGAGATATAAGCAGTACCGACACTTTCATTGTTAAGATTTCCATTTCTCTTCGTTTCGTGAATTTGTCTCTATGCCAGTGCAATGGCAAATAAAAAGTAAAGAAACAGTGTAAGTTCTGGACAAATCGCCTCTCGACTAATTGTGAAATATTCATAAAATAGTCATTCTCTGTCGCAGCGAGACGCTTGCTTTCTTGGTTTTTTTAATTATAACTACTTTGTTCTAGAAAAATATATATCGCTCAAAAAAGCCATTTTCCTGAATACGTCTCAGCATTCGTGGGTAATTTACTGTTAAGAGAGTCTTATTTAATATTTCGATCTAACACTTCAAGGAATTTCAAGTCTTCTTGAGGTAAATCAGTATGTTTTTATTAGCGAAAAACCAGCTGCCAAATTGGAATGAAGTCTATATTCGGTTTCTTTCACCAAATAATGTTACACGTTTAATTTCAGTCAAGAAGAGTATAAAGGCATTCATTTACAGCCGCTTTTTTGTTGAGAATTATGGCTAATGTCTCCAACTAACCTAACTGAAAATTGCGCGAAAAGCAATGTGGAACTTCGAACACAGCTTGAAGTCCGCTTTAACAGAGGATGCAAAATAATGAAATACAATCATACAAAGGTTAAATGTTTTTGTTGAACATGGAAATAGACGTGTGATATAAGCTGAACCATGGAGAAATCTTTCAAAAAAAACAATTGAAAGGTCTGTCCCTAATTATCTTTACACTGCATGTGTGTATGCTTTGTAGCTACGTATGACTGCCAGAAAAACAGATTCAAACTAAACTACCATCCCTGGATACGGGACGAATCATAACATTAGTATTGTTTAAAAAACCTTTTGTCATTTTCCACTCTTTTATTCATGGAGGTGCGCAATTCACTGCGTCCATGTATGTTAAGGTCGAGTGAAATCGATAATAGCGGAGTACGTAGCGCGCGCATGAAAATGGTAAAAGGTGAGTCCATTTTCTCAACATTCAGTCAAGTGCGTTAGTAGCATTCCAGTTTTCCAAGTGTGTGATATCCTTCCTCGTTAGCACGACCAGTGTCACCAAACCTCAACTGAGTAACTGGAAGGTCGGATTTGATGGTCAAAAAACCACTGTCCTCCCGCCAAACATCATCGTTCGCGTCACAGTTACAGGGCCACTCTTGAGTCGGACAGGTGTTAGTCACGTTGCACGCACATCCGTCAGTGGCTCCACCCCAATACTTTTTTTTCGCACCGTCACGTGACACCCACCAGCTAATTCGACCTAAGCGCATTGCAGCATTGTGGCATTCATATTTAATGAACTGTTGGCAGCTATTTGAGGCTTCTATCAGTCCCTTGATTTGGGAAAGGCTGCTGCCGTTGTAATGGATGTCACAGCGGTAGCTACCATCTGGTTCAGATCCATTGACGTGGATTCTGTCCTCGCTATCGTGACTGATAACTGTCACTCCAACGCCTCCTTTGTCAGTCATGTTACAGTAAACAGGAAATGGATCTTCGCCAAGAACACCATCAGGATCAATGAAATAATCACCACTAATGTCACTAATGTCTGTCTTCACTTTGGCGCAGGTTTCAGGGTACTTGACGTAAACGGTGACACTTGTTTGAATGGAATTGAGCGCATTAGTCACACGGCAAGTGTAATCACCACCATGGGTGAAATTGACTGAAGAAACAATCAAGTTATTTGAGGAATCGATTCTGGCATAAGGAGGTAACGACTCGATCCCATCAAACATCCACGACAACTTGAGATCGCTTGCAGCAGAACAAGGCAGAGTAAGACCTTCATCAGCCTTCACGGTCACATTCAACGGAGGTTTAACGGTAAACTTAAGAGCTGAATGGACTTTAAGGTACGTTGAGGATGAGATTGTACCCCAGATGTTTTTTGCAGTACACACATATGAGCCAGTATCCTGTTTGGTGACGTTTTCCAAAGTTAGATTTACTCCTCGAACGTCGCTTCTTGTGGGAGGTAGACTTTGTTGAGACCTGCTCCATTTAATGAAGTGTGGAGGAGGAATACTGATGATTGTACATGTCATGAAGACTTTTTTGCCTTCCTCGGTCTCGATAGAATCAGGAAACACTTGCACTGATGGAGGTGCTGTAATGTCCAAAAATAAGAAATAAAAGTAAAATCCTTTCTTTGGAAAAAAAAAACCAAAACATTACATTAAACTTTTAAATCTGAATAAGAGAAATGACTTTGCATAACACAGGTGGATCAATTGAAGAAAAATACCTTCTGTGCAGTTGCTTCCAAAGAGTCTATTTCTGCAAACACAACGATAACCTTTGCTGGTGAATCCTGTTTGACATCGATGGATCGCAGGACAGGGATTATCTGAACAAGGGTTCTGTGAAGAAAGGGAGATTTACCTAAATTAGTTGAGATTCGGTGAAAATAATGAGGTATTGTCCTCTATTTGCCGTTTTTACAGGGTAACATGACATGACATGACATGACGTGACATGACATGACATGACGGGACGTGACATGACGTGACATAACATGACATGACATGACATGACATATTATAACATGGAGCGAGGTGGCAATACATGAAGTGACTTAAATAGCATGGCCTCGTATGACATGACCTAACATGTAACAGCAGAACCAAACATGACATGAGTCTCATAACGTGACGTGAAATGGTATCGAATGATTTGAGAAGAAATGAAATGGCATAAGATGATAATAAATGACATGACTTGCACGGCATAATGCGACATGACATGACATAAAATAACATAGGGATATCATGACCTTAAATGGGATGAGATTACAGGACATGACGTAAGCAAAACAATATTTGACATTGTATTACATGATATAATATGGCATGACATGGAATGAAGCGAAATGGCATTACCTGGAATTGGGGAGATAAGTTTCAAAATAATCTGTGGTGCTGCGTCGGGTGGAGAGTACAAAAGGGTAATTACCGTAAAGAGTTTAAAAGCTGAAGTTTCGAGCGTTGGCCCTTCGTCAGAGCGAATAATTTATTTCCTTCGCTCTGACGAAGGGCCAACGCTCGAAACGTTAGCTCTGAAACTCTTTACGGTAGCCAATTTACGTTATCTGGGATTGGATGATGCGGCAGTTCTGGCCTGAGATTGAGTGGGACGAAAAGACGTTGCATAGCATGAATTGAAACGCTTTATGTGCATTGTGTGGCTTTCAATGTACTGTGTATTATTTTCAGTTCTGATAATAATATCTAACTATATGTAAATACATTACCGAACACACAACCTGGCTTACCCGGAATGATTTATAGACAGCTCCCGCTTCGGATTTGACATCCAGGGGATGAATTTTGTCTGTCGAATTGCTCAGTTCACACAAATATCTTCCTTCTGGATCCCGTGGCTGTCTCAGATTGTACGAGACGCAGTCAGCATCCATAAAACAGTTCACTTCACAGGCACTGGCTGATTTTATCTCCAGTTTCCTGAAGACGTGATTTTCCAAGTAGAGGTTGTCGACGGAAGGATTCATTTCCACTTTACGACAGCCCTCTAAAAATGAAACAAAGGCGTCTAGGTCAAACATCGCTCCACTCGTGCGCCGAGCTAAACTAATGAATTAGGTCAGACAGAACAATGAAACATTTTTCGGTCGGTTCCGTGATTGAGGCAAATGAAGAAGAACATATGGCTCTCGAATTCACGTGAAAGCTTTGGCGCAGACTTTATGGACTATTAAGAATTCCACCCGACCATTTAACTATTTTGCAGGAAAACGGGTTTATTTTGTCACAACAGCTTTGATTCAGGAGTGTAAGTACATCTGAAATGAGAACAGATCGTCCTTTGAGACTAAAAATATTGAAGCATTTTTACTACACATATATACATAAATACACTCATTTTCAAAAAAGTTGCAATTTGAAAATATACATTAAATATATATATCTATTGTTTTCTCGCCAAAAATTGTGTCTATTCTTGATGAGAAAAGAACTCATATATATTTAATATACATTTTCAAATTTTCAACGTTTTTGAAAACGGTATATATATACAAACCTTCATTAACGACATATATTAATCACTTACAATACATAAACTATTTTACAACGCATAACCTACAATACATTACTTACGATGCATTACTTACAACGAGCTGCTTACAATGAAATCCTACAATAACTATACTATTTACAATGGAAACATTAACCGAATACTGCATTACAGAACTGACATTAGTAGCATTAAGCTCGTTAATTTGAATATGTTTAAAGAAGTTTCTGGGCGTACCTGCAAAAGTGATCGAATGTTGATTAAATATCTATATTGTTCCATTTCTCGTGAAAGATATCTATTTCGCTCTTTTATCAGATGTTTCATTTTTCTTAGAAGAAAAAACACTAAATTTTGGTTTCAACAAACTCTACTTGCTACCTATTAGGATTATGGTATCAAAAAAAAGATATACAGCCTTTGATAGCCCGAAAGCTGGAATTCCATATACTCGAATCAAGCATATACGTGGAGCTCTAATTCACAATTTTATTCCAGAATTTGGATACGAAGATGCATTGTACAAAAAAATGCCATAGGTACTCATCATTACTGTTGCAAAAATTGCATAAAGACGCGGGTATGCGAGACATTTTGCACAGTTTATAATTTATATTCAGAATAATGCTGCCCATAATTCTCTAAATTTTGTATCTATGGTGCACTAATATGGAATGACATAAAGGTCTTTCCAAATAAAATGTGTTTTATAAAAAATTGTCTCCATTTCTTTTGTGCCGCCGGAGGCGCAAATGAAACTTAGTTTTATCATCTTTTAGACTGCTTTTGAACTGGAATTCACCTGTTTACCGCATTGTTCAAAACCCAATCGCTTTTTTTCGTGCTGAGGCATAAAAATATTTGTTGTGCTTGAGACAACTTATTTCCAATCGGTAGGGACGTTTTCCATGTTTAGAAATAACATCAACTAAATGAATAAAACCCAAGTTGCAAAATTCTTGATTGAAAATATGTTTTCAATTTTGTAAAAAGCAGGCATTGTTCCAAACTGTTTGTAGAAGAACTTCTTTGGAACTCGGACTCGAACTTCTTTTGGAACTCGGAGTAGACTAAGATGATGATGCAAAGTCTGAGAGACACCTTTTATATAAAATGGTGGAAGAGAAATTAGACACAAAAGTTTAAGATCAAAATTACAACGTTGTAAGAAAATCCCATCCTCCTTTTTAAGGAAAAAGTTTAATATGTTTTCTCATTAACTTTTATAAAGCACTGTTGATCTTTCATTCAACCTACATCACTTTAAGCTTGCGAGCAACGACGATTCGAGCTGGTCATGTTTCCTAGTTTCATTTTTCATTAATGTAGTAACAACTATTTTGCATAATTTTGAAACTATTTCTTACGCCAATAAATGAAATCTTTTTGTCAGTAATTACACATAATGATAGGTTTCTAAAATAAGATTTCACTAAGTGAAAAGGAGAACCAAATTTCGAGTTAAAAGTAATGAATAGCGAAACGCACAGTAATAGTTAGGTGCATTTATGTTTGCGCATAGCATAGGACTCGCATGCTCACCTTTGTTCGACGCCAAACAATTTGTCCCTAA